TCACACGTCCCACCCCTTAAACTCAGCCAACCCCTGTAGCACGTTGTAGTCTCGGGAGCTTTTCAAAAGGTCTGAGGGAACTTGACAATCCCTCAGTGATCCAAAGTAACACCCCACTAGTTGACAAGCATTCTCCTATGCTCCTGTCTGTTTCATATACAGGAACACCGACGACTTATCGCTACGGGACGTGAACGCCGGTATGAGATGAATCAGTGAACGAACTGTCACGCGAAAGAAAAGACTGGTCCCACTTGTCCACCCAAAACCGTATAACTCACCCAGTCACAACCGTAATAAAAAAAGAAGATAGTTGTACATGCGGAATTAATCCGTAAATTTATTTTTGACAATGTTTCACAGCATACATAACGATGGTTCAACCATACAAGTTTCCGAGTCCATTGCGTCCCACGCCACGGACGAGTGTCAATCCTCCAAGGGGCACCGCGAGATCTGCAAAACCACTCAAAAATTGTGAACAAAGTGAATGGATACCCTGGTTTCGACCTTGCTACATGTCTTTCTGGACCCAAATTTACGGCTCTACAACGAATTTTAAAACTGCTCACTTTCAAGTGCCTGACATAGTGACAGGCTTGCTTAACACAAGGGGCTGGAAGACCTAGCAAGTCAACCTCGTCTCCCGCCCAACAAGCATCCATCTCCCTCGTCACTACCAATTACAAAACTCATAACTCAAAAGACTAACTGGCTTCAACACTTTTATTTCCTTTAATACTAGTGACAAAGCTGGGTTAAAAAATGACGCTGCATGGGCTTATGCAATTATGATACGAAACTTTACACTTAAGGATGAAAGTCACTCTTGATTGGATGCTAACTCACAACGGACATGACAGTTAAAAAGAACGCTCGATTGCACATGCAGTGAAAATTAACAGTTAACAGTATATACACAGTGAATAATAGGATCCCTGGCCTCCTCAGCTATAGACAGGCTGTCGACTTTCTGCTGGCTGACCTAGAACTTGAGGGCGCTAGGACAACTCTGTCTCCTCTGCTAGTAGAACTGCCTAGACCAAACTGTTGAGGCCATACTAACCCTGCAACGGATATGAAGAAGCAATTAGACGTTGAAAACATGCTCATACTAATAAATTCTTACCTGACTGAAATTAACGGCGGCCATAGCCCCCTATGTAAAAGACAGATTAGTTTGGACGGAGTGTGAACTTACCTCCATAGGGAGCATTCCTCTGGTAACCGCCTGGTGGGCCACCGCGCATTGGACCACCGGCGTAGTTTTGTTGGTTCCCGTAGTGCCCAAATCCATCACCCATTCCTCCCTGGCCCCAGCCAGGACCATCTCCATTCATGTGATTTGGACCCCAACCCCCTCCGTAATTCCCACCCCCGTAGGCACCGCCACCACCACCACCGTTCGAGCCATATCCACCATAAGGACCACCTAGTCGATAGAACCATTAAGTAAACTACTCACCTCCGTAGGAACCCCCGTAACCTCCGTCATACCCGCCATAGCCTCCACCCATCGGTCCATAACCGCCACCGCCACCATAATTGTTATTCAGTTATTGATCTTCAGCTCTTCATCGTCATTCTATTTTCTTCGTTTTTGTGTCCCGCTGCGAGAGATCATGTCCTAATTTGCTTCCGTTTTAATGCATGTTGGAGTTTAAATTTCGCTCTATAACTTTGTCAGTCACTAATTTTACTTCTGGAAATTACAATATTCATATTATTTTTAAATTATCATGTTTGGCAGCTTATCATCATTGAGAGTTCACAATAACCTTTTAAAGGTTACAACTTCTCATCTTGTCAATGTTGGACAATTCAGATTCAGTTGGACAGGAATAGCGAATGACAAGTTAGGTGGAATATTAATTCGTTCCTTCAGATCTTCCTTAGTTTATCCATAAAATCCTCACGAACTATGCTCACTAGACACCTATATTTTACTATCTAAATGGTTCAAATTGTTGTGGACGGAATAGAAGAAGCTTTCGCTTAACAGGCTGCCGTGTCTTGTAGCAGGGGATCACCAAGTCCCCCAGGCAGGAACCTAAGTATGTTAACAGTAAAAGAGGAAAAGAAATTGGTAAATCATAGTGTGATGTTGTCCTTGGTCCTTAAGAATAGATCAAGTTGCCTCTTAAAAGACTCCTGGAAAGTCGCTTGGACTAGCTCGGCCGGCAGCGAATTCCAGCTTTTGACAACTCTTAAGGAGTAGAAGTTGTTTCTACATTCCGTCTTGCTATGTTGCGTTTCCAGTTTCTGGGTGTTGCCCCTTAGGTTATTATTCGAACTAAGCTTAAGTAGGTGTTTAAGAGGATGTCCAGAAGTGTTAAGAATACTATAAGCCATTAATAAGTCACCTCTAATACGCCTATACTCTAATGGGTAAAGGTCTAGTGAATGGAGGCGTTCTTCGTAAGGTTTAGATTTGAGTCCTCGAACTGATTTCGTGGCTCGCCGTTGGATACGCTCCAATGTGACCTTGTCCTTTTGGAGTGAGGGGGGAGTACTATGTTTCCGTACTCTAAATGGGGACGGATGAAACTATTGAAGATTGTATGGAAAGTTCTTCCGTCAAACTGTCCAAAAATGCGCTCCAACGTTACCAGTGCAAGGTGTGCTCGGAAGGCATTTTTGTCACAGTTAGCGTAAGACTTTAAATCATGGGGCACCAGGACTCCTAAGTCTTTTTCGACTTGGGATACTACTAGAGAGGAGTTTCCCAAGTTATAACTTTAGTCTGAGACATGTCGCAGATGGACTACTTTACACTTTGAAGTGTTAAAGGTAAGTCCGTTATCGTCTGCCCAGATTTGAAGTCGAGTCAGATCCTCCTGAAGTGCCTGTATATCGTCTTGGTTGCGCATCTCTCTCCAAAGTTTTACGCCGTCGGCAAAAAGTAGTAAGTCTGACGTTACCTGTTGAGGAAGATCATTTATGTAGATCAAGAAGAGAAGAGGCCCTAGTACTGAGCCCTGGGGGACCCCACTAGGACATTCCATAGCCTGAGATAAAGTGAAATTAACCCTAACGTTAAAGTGTCGAATTTTTAGGTATGAAGTAAGCCAATCGATTAGAGGTGGTCTGATACCTAGTCGTTTGAGCTTATTGATAAGACACAAGTAGTTAACCTTATCAAAAGCTTTTGAGAAATCAAGGTAAATGATATCAACCTTTCCCTTACGATCGAGGACAGTAGATAGTCGTTTAAACCGTCGCATATCAGGGACACCATGAGTTTTGAAGGTAACGACAGAAGAGCTACCGGCCGGTAACTTGAAGGTTCATTGCGTCGACCTCCTTTGAAAATTGGTGTGATATGAGCCAACTTCCAATTTTCCGGTAGTTTGCCTCGGCTAAGCGAGTGTGAAAACATCACGCTAAGCGGCGTTGCCAGGATTGAGGCTGCCTCCCTCAGTATGGCAGGATGAACCATATCCGGGCCAGGAGAAGTATCTAGTATTAAGTGCTGCAATTTCCGGAACACCAAGTCGGCGCTTAGGTCCACTTAGGAAAGTCCTGTGCAGTTGCAAATGAAGCTGTCCTCAGTATAGTTGATGTGGATCGGTTGCAATATCTGAGAGTATTGTTCAGTCAAAAGGTTAGAGGTGTGGCCGTCGTTATTGGTCGAGCCGTTAGGACCTAGTAGTTGGGAAATTCCAGTTTTGGCTTGACAAAGAGAGGCTGCATAACTAAATAAGCATTTGGGATTAGAGACAAATTTGTCCATAAGCTTTGTCTGGTACTCAAACCTGTCTTCTCTTATAGCCTTCGTGCATATATTCCTTATATGTTTGTATTACCTGTACGCCCAATTGTTGTCAGTTCGTTTGTATTCTGCCCAACAGTGCCTTTTGCGGCTTAGCAGGCGAAGAGTGCGGTTCTTGATGATTTTAGGTTGCATGTAGCTTTTGGGGGCCGTTTGAGGAACTGACTGCTTTGTAGCACATGAGAGCGTGTGCAGTAAGGAGTCCCAACGAGTATCCACATCGAGTTGAGGGTGAACATCCCAATCCACCTGATGTAGATAGTCGTGTAGAGCTGGCACATTCAGCCGTTTGAAATTCCGACGCAAATTATTGTTGGGGTACCTTAACTTAGTTTTGATGACAAAACTGAAGGCTATGACAGCATGATCGCTCTTTCCCAGAGGAGCCAGGATTGAGAGGTTGCCAACTAGAAATTCTTCGTTTGTGAATACACAGTCTAAGCGCGATGGTGTCTGACTGTTTCTCCAACGAGTTGCCGACCTCACATTTTCATATAAGCCCAAGTCACCGATGGGGTTGAAGAACCGAGCTTCAATTGAGTTGTCGCCTCCAGTATACGTGTGTTCCGCGAAGTTGACTCTAGGGAGAATAAAGTCCCCTAGAATCAGAATGTGTGTGAAAACGAGACGGGTAGAACGGGATAGTCCTTCCAACATACAACTATCGTACTCGATGTCGGCAGTTGGCTTACTGTAAATGACACCTCGAAGTACTAGACAACCTTACAGAGCACCATATAGATTCCTCAAGATTGTTAAACTCGAGGTTGTGAACTTGGTGCACCTCCAAGCAAGAGCTTACGTATATGGCTACGCCGCCCCCAATTCCTGTTTTTCTGTCGTTGCGGAACAAAGTCATCCCAGGTAATGCTAACTCATGATCCGAGAACTGAGAAGATATCCAGGTTTCAGATATTCCCATCAGATTGGCCTTATTAGCATTGCTAAGTTCATGTAATTCATCCAGTTTGTTTGGTAGACTCGCGGAGTTCATATACAAGCAGTTTATGCTTTCGATTTGGAACGCGTGAGGTTCGTCCTGTTTTTCTGTATGAGCCTTATGTGAATGGACAGGTGGTCCACCTATATGAGGTTTGCCGAGGTGGTAGGCCATGAACGTCTTTTAAAGCACACAGTTGTCTGTTTACACCAGCAGATTGAGCCGAAAACTTTCTGACTCAGATTTGTTGATATCTACATTGGATATTGAAGTTTGTTTTAGGTTTCTAAACGGAGTAGATGTCCATTAGGCGCCACAACTTATGCTGCTTTTCTGAGTGTAAGTGTCCCTACATAAGCAGTAATAAACAGCAGTCAGTAGTTATGAGAAGTCCTAGGCCAGACTTAACTAAACTGTCACTGTGTACCTACGTTTTAAACACAGGAACCATCCACCATTATTTAAACAACTAATAATACAAGTACTACTCTCTCTCTCTCTCTCTCTCTCTCTATATATATATATATATATATATATATATATATATATATATATACAATATACAGGCCATTTTAGGATATCACTTTGTAGATACCTTTGTGACATCATTGCCGTTCCCTCGATGTGGTCGGGTTATTTCCCGGCCGTTGCTTCTACCTCAATGTAGTGGTCGGGCGTGAATGCAGTGATGAGCCAATTAGGCCATACTAGCTGGAACAATCGTTCCTCAAGGTCCTACCATGATTAGCAGGCCGGCTGCAGAACGACAAAACTAAAAGCAACAAACCCTGTGTCCTAGGACGAAGTCGTACTGCTGATTGTAGGGGAGTTAGACGGCAGTAGGGTGTTTCTCTCGGAGAACCAGTGTCTGCAGCGATGCTGCCTTCCCACAACGGAAGGTTTGGGTTAGAAAAGGTCGGTCTTAAAAATACACGCTTCGCCTTTTCCCACGGATTCTCGTCTTGGTCAGTAAGTTATTTTGAAGTGCAATGCTAACTCGTCAAAAACTTCCCATGAAAAGGCCGTACGCCACCGTCCTGAAGCAGTTGTCTTTTGGGCACTGCGGTCACGCTCTCAGTTCGCTGGAATCATCAATTTCAGCTTCCTCTTCAGGTCTCAAGAAGAAATATTCTCCCATGTTGGCAGCCGGAAGTGACAACCAATCTCATACTTCTATCAGAATCTGAGGTCATCTTGTTGACGACGAGTTCCCTCTCCAGACCCATTGCCGGATCAGTTGTGAACTTATACCACTTGGTAGTGATGGATTCTAGCTTTTTTCCGACCTAATTATATGCCAGCCTGCATTGCATTTCTTGGTATGCGACTAGACCATCTTCTCTCGGTACCTTTTACATCGGCTTGGATTTACTTTGAAAGTTAGTGAAACTACTTAGCTCATACTGACGTAGATGAAGTTAAACACACACATTTTGACTGAACTGGACCAAAGTTATTTACTTATTTATTTTAACACAGATATTGGTACAAGAAGGCACCAAATACATATGGGCCAAACAAATCTCATTTGATTTGCGTGAGGGCTGTGATACTACCCGGGTGCCCAAACCGGAGCAAGTGGCTTTCTTAGAGGGCCGAACCCCGAGCCTTCGACCTGAAGATCCGATCCACAAGGCAGTGGAGCATCGTATAGAAATGCAGTCCCATGGTAGCCGGTGACCAACAATTGGTTCATACGCCAAACTACTACTTATTCAATTACATGGCTGGAACAAAATATTTTATAAGCCTTTGTCGTTTTTCAAGAATATTTAGAAATTATCTGAGGTTACAAACTTTGGATAATGTATTTTAAAGTTAGCCGCTCCCAATTTTCATGTTCCTTTCAAAATATGTTCCCTATAGTTAATTGCTCACTAGTACTGATACTGGTATTTCTATTCGCTTACTTTCCACATAGTTAGTTTCGAACTGTGGAGCATACCAAGCAGGCGTTGATTCCTATCTATCTTGACCGTCTTACTTAATATTTCTTTACGCTGTCATTCATTGACGAAAATAATTAGGATGGATCTTGACGCAGTAATGATCTTTAAATGGAATTACAGATTTGCTATCATCATGCACTCTTCAGACTGATAATTGCCTTCTACTTTCGTAAAATGGATTGGATGCGATATCAGGCCAGATCAGTCATTAAACCTATCGTATTTTGACCACCCAGGTTTTCGAATATCTTGTTTAGTTATCATCCTCTAGGTTATCCGGGTGTGATTTCAGTTTTTAAAAAATAATTGTCTCGAACATACTCAGACCAAAGAAGGATTCAAAAATACTCCACTGGTCGGATAGAATCTGTCACATTTCACTAAATAGGTCAAACACTTTTTGTGCTTATATCTTCTACTTTTACTCACTAGTGTCAGTATTTACGTTCGCCTATCATTGATTTTCTTTGTGCTTATGTTAGGGATAACAATTTAGACTAACAAAAGTTGTGCCTGTCGTAAGTTACTTCTCATTTTCTAAAATAAGGATCTCCAGTTGACAAATAAGTTTAGTCTCTAGTGGAATGCTTATTATGTTCGTATATAACCGCTTCAGATAATAGCGCCTCATAAACTCACATGTCTTTCAGTAACAGATATCGCCACAAAATCTTACCATTGGCGTGGTCGAATAGATCATTTAAGTAGGAATTTTACTCCCTCACTTTTGATTAACTCAATTTTTTGTCAGTCGCTTCTAGTACAATCGGTGAACTTTCATAAATTTACCCAATTTCTTTGTTTTCATCCATAGTTAGTTCCATGGACGCTTTAAGAGCTACATTGGATAGTACTGATGGTCAAGTGGCTACTGTTAGTCGAACTAGTTCACCACCTCCTTTGGATCTTCTCAGTCCTCCTCCCGTTGTTGCTGAATATTGGTGTCATACGCAAGTAATTCATTCCTTCCTACCATTCTCTATACTTTCGAAAGGTGCGTGTAACAAAGATGAAATACGTTTGGACGATAAGCAATTTTAGCTTTTGTCGCGAAGAGATGGGAGAGGTTGTAAAGAGCTCATTTTTTTCTTGTGGCCCTAATGATAAGTTGAAATGGTTAGTTTACAGCGTTATTCTTATGTTGTTTGTGTTTCCTCTACTTATCAAGGTGTCTTAGAATAAATCCAAAGGGCTTAGATGAAGAAAGCAGAGAATATTTATCACTGTATCTTTTACTGGTTAATTGTGGAACTAAAAGCGAGGCCAGAGCAAAGTTTAAATTTTCTATCTTGAATGCAAAGCGCGAAGAAACAAAAGCAATGGGTTTGTATTGATAGTAACGCCTACTAATTTCCTCCATCTTATCTAAAGAAAGTCAACGCGCTTATAGGTTTGTGCAAGGCAAGGATTGGGGTTTCAAGAAGTTTATTCGTCGAGATGTTCTCATGGATGAGGCCAATGGTCTTTTACCAAATGACCGCTTGACGATTTTATGCGAGGTATGAAGATCATTCTTTCTTTTTACCATTTGAAGATCGATTTTTTCTGTCCTGATTCTTATTAATTTTGCTGGTGCCCTTAATTTCTAAGCAGAAAGTTGCACATTTGAACACCGTTCCAAGAACGTGGGTTTAGGAAGTTAGGATCTGTCATTAACCCTTACACAAGCAACGCGGCTCACAGTGTAGCACATAATTTTGTACTTGCTAAATGACATATTAATGATTATTAACTTTAGCGTCTCTGGTTGTATTCGTATTTATGCCGATCAAGCTGGTTTGTCCACTGTATGCTGTGCCCGGCCGTTGCTTCTACCTCGATGTGGTGGTCGGGCTTGCATGTAGTGATGAGCCAATTAGGCCATACTAGCTGGAACAATCGTTCCTCAAGGTCCTACCATGATTAGCAGGCCGGCTGCAGAACGACAAAACTAAAAGCAACAAACCCTGTGTCCTAGGACGAAGTCGTACTGCTGATTGTAGGGGAGTTAGACGGCAGTAGGGTGTTTCTCTCGGAGAACCAGTGTCTGCAGCGATGCTGCCTTCCCACAACGGAAGGTTTGGGTTAGAAAAGGTCGGTCTTAAAAATACACGCTTCGCCTTTTCCCACGGATTTTCGTCTCAGTCAGTAGGGTCTCAGTTACGGAGCTAGCACAAAAAGGCCGTACGCCACCGTCCTGAAGCAGTTGTCTTTTGGGCATTACGGTCACGCTCTTAGGTCACTGAGAACAACTCTGAGACATTTTCCTTTTCAGGTACCTGTAGAAGAACCCTTCCACGGTGTGGGTAACCAGTAAGTGGTAAATACCCTCATACATTTAACAGCAGTGATTAAAATCTGAGCTTCCCTAGTGCGCTAATAAGATCGTTGGCGACATGATTTAAACTGATCACACTGAGGAAGATGCCTTCAATTTATATGTTTCACATTTAAGATCATAATACTATCCATTACGGCTTTTCAACTCATACCATTAAGGTCAGCCATAAATCAGATCAGTAGGTAAAGTCTTCCCTGACACGTTTTATCATACCAACCTACGTTTAAACTTCCTCCGCTGATAATCGTGTTTATAGTCAGACGAGATGAGTTTCCGAGCATCCATCAGTGATGTAGACGCCACTGAAATCGGCTGTTTTCCTAGCCTTTTGGTTTAAGTTACGAGTAGATATCATAACTGTTTCCACAGCTTTTCGAATATTATACGAAGCTACCTCGGGGTGGATATCATTTTCACGGTTGACTAGCTCCCTTTGTAGCTGTTCCTGGAATATTTTTTTAGCTTTTCATCATTAGTTTGGACACTAAGGGGTTTACTTGTTGTGGCTTTTCTACGTCCATTAAGACTCAGACAAATATGTGCTCCAACTATATCATGTTCCGAGTCTAAACATGTGCTCAAGGATGTGCGACAGTTGTGTTTCTTCACTGATTGCGACAGTCTTCAACTGAGCCCCTCCAACTATGGCTAATTGCAATGTGGTCTATTTGAGTCTATGGATGAGTCGATCGCGGAGGTCACCACGTCAGATGATGTTTCTCCTCATATTTAAAGTTGGTTTTTGCCATGAATAGACAGTTATCTGAACATAGTTGCAACAGATGGTCACCACTATCTGTTCGCTGAGCCTCAATACCGTAAGATCCGCCTAAGTGGGGTTCAGTTTGGTTTATTGTACTTGCTTGGGCATTAAAATAACTTGTCACTACTACTACTACTACATCAGAGCGTTTAGCTTTCTGAAGGTTAGATAGCTTCCTATAAAATTCACCGTTAATTTGGTTTGAGCTGCAACTAGTGGTAGAGTAGGCAAAGACAACGGAAAGGTAACGGCATGTATCCCCATATTTTCGAGTTCTTAATGTCCTGTTTAGTCGAACAGCGCACAAGCGACTGTTTGTTGGGATCCAGTATAGGAGAGCCTGTTTTGCCTCAGAACTTAGTGCTTTACCTACACCACGGGAAGTAACAGTGGGGTCTCCAGATACTTGAATTTTAAATCATGCCGGTTCTTTATATTGACAAGACGAGGTCAAATGAATGACTAGTTGGGTCGTTTAAGCACGTTTTGGTGACGCAGCATATATCGATGGTGCAAGATTCTAGAGTCCTAGCCAAAAAAGCCTATTGTCTTATCGTATACTAGATTCTAACAGTAAAAGCTCCAATATGTGATTTAGAGCGTGGTTTCAGGTGACTAGGAATATATCATTAAGAGAACTCAAATAATTAGCATTATTGATGCGTAGTGATAACGATATATGTGAAGGGTTAATTGTGGGTATGTAAGAATTATTAAGATGTGAGAGATTCGATCGTCAACAAGATGATCTCGGGTTTTGTTACCGGCCTGCCTATCATAGTAGGACCTTGAGGAACGATTGTTCCAGGTAGTATGGCCTGATTGGTTCATCACGACATGCAACCCCGACCACCACATTAAGGTAGCAACTATGGTTGGAATACATCGCTATTGTGAACGATTAAGTCTTACCACCCAGTTTTCAATCACTAACCGTGGTTATCATATAACTACATCTAAGTAGTCACTATCTGTCGTCATGGATTAAATCAATAGTCGACGACTCCGTAGATTAATTTAATTTCTTGGTTTGGTTGCTCGTCAGTCAGTCAGTCAGCTACAACGTAGGACCAGGCACATATGTGCATCGGTCCAGGTTGCCATACCTCATTAGCACAACAAGATGAACACCGGATTCATAGGAGTGGTTAGGTCAAAGGTTGCAATAAGGATATAGTATAGGAAGGAAGAATTAGTTCGTAGAAAGAAAGATATGAAGTGATTTTAATCTCTTAGTTTAAGGGAAGACAGAGAGTGTATACACCGACGCCATTGTGATCGATTCTGAGCCATGTCACCAAGAGTCTCCAACCATTGGTTACGAAAGTCACGCGGACCCCAACCAAGTAGTCTGCATCTACCAACATGGCTAAGACTAGAAGTTAGTGACTTCAAGCACTGATGCCACGTTTTGGTTTGGCCGCCCCTAACTTTTTTCCAACCATCCCCTACACCGGTTAGCATTGCACGTCGTGGTAATCGGTGTTCAGGCATACGTAATACGTGGCCCAACCATCTCAGTCGATGAAGATTCACAACCTCATCAACTGATTTACCATCGTTACCTAATACCCTGCGTCTAACCTCACTATTACTTACCCGGTGATCCCAGCAGATGCCAGCAATATTTCTAAGGCATCTGTGGTCAAATACTTGTAGCTTACGGGTGTCTTCTACTCTTAAAGGCCATGTTTCGCTGCCGTAAAGTAAGACAGAACGGACTGCCGCGCAGTATACTCGTCCTTTTATTGATAGACGGATATCTCGCCTTCGCCAAAGGTGACGTAAGTTGGCAAAAGCCAAGCGAGCTTTTCGAATCCGTGCTGAGATTTCGTCAGACACCAACCCATTAGGGCTGATCAGACTTCCAAGATAAGTGAAGTTGTCAACGCGTTCGACTACTTCACTCCCTATCCTTAGTTTAGGTGTTGATGCAGACCAGTCCTGAAGCAACAACTTGCATTTAGAGGGAGAGAAGCGCATCCCAAACATTCTGGCATTGTTGCTTAGTGCTACCAGAAGACTCTGCATTTTGTCAGCGTCTTCACCAAACAGGACTATGTCATCTGCGTATTCTAAGTCGATAAGTGGACCTCCTGGAAGGAGATCAATACCCGAGAATTCAGTCGACGAGAGTGTTATTTCCATCAATAGGTCAATGATGAAGTTAAACAAAAATGGAGAAAGTGGACAGCCTTGACGGACACCACTTGAGGTTGCAAAAGTAGATGACAGTTCGCCATAAGCCCTGACTCGACTAGTAGTGTTCGAGTAAAGAGCCTTCACAAGGTTTACGTACTTCTGAGGTACGCCCTTCAATGACAGACACTGCCACAGAGTCTCGCGGTCTACTGAGTCAAATGCTGCTTTTAAGTCAAGAAAGACCACCATCGTCGGACGCCGATAGGTATGCCTGTGTTCTAGAACCTGACGAATGGTGAATATGTGGTCGATGCAGCCACGACCAGGTCTAAAGCCAGCTTGGTTCTCTCGAGTTTGTAGTTCACGAGTCTTAGTTAGACGTCTGATAATTATCGAGGCCAGTATTTTAGATACTATGTTTGTTAAACTAATCCCTCTGTGGTTGTCACAGGATGATTTTGACCCTTTCTTATATATTGGGACGATAAGTGATTGCGACCAGTCAGATGGGATAAAGTCTAATTCCCAGATCTTAGCTAAAATATTAGTCAACCTAATCGCTAAAGTTGGACCACCATCCTTAAAGACCTCTGGAGCCAATCCATCTGGACCAGCTGCCCTTCCTCGTTTCAGATTAACTATAGCCTATTGAACTTCAGCAAGAGTTGGGGGACCTACTTCAATGTTCCATTCACATTGTCTGGGAATGGAGGGTAGTTGTAGAGTAGCTGAAGGCCAGCTGAACTGTTCTCTAAAATGTTCCGCCCATCGTTCTAAACGTCTGGACTGGGAGCAGATGAGAGTATTATCTTTTTCCGAAATAATCTCACTTACACTTGACTTATTAATTCCAGTTTCTTTTATTAGTCTGTAAAGCTGTCTTGTGTTTCCTATAGTCGCCGCCTTTTCCATCTCTTTTGCTTTCGTTACCCACCACTGCTCACGGTCGTTCCTTAGACTTTTTCTTAACCTCGATCTGATTTGTTTTCGCTCTTCATCATGTTCAGAACCTGATGGGACGACTTTGCGAGAATCCATCAGTGTGACAGACCTTGAAGAAATCCACTGGTTCCTTGCAACTCTGTGGTTTAAGTCCCTAATAGATGTCACTGCTGTTTCCACAGCTGATTGTATGCCCTTCCAAGCAACATCTGGGTCAGCCTCGTCTTCACAACTACCTAAGTGTGACCTCAGTTGTTCCTGGAACCTACTTTTGGTTTTCTCGTTACTCAACTCAGTTCTAACGGGTCTTTTTAATGTGGCTTTTTTGCGTCCAGTGAGGCGCAAGCAGATGCGTGCCCGTATTAGGGCATGGTCGGAGTCCAAGCAGGTACTCCAGAATGAGCGACAATCTTCTACCGACCCTCTCCAACGATGACTGATGGCAATATGGTCTATTTGAGTCCATCGTTGGTTTGGTGTAGGGGGTCGCCATGTTAGACGATGTCTCTCCTTATGCTTAAAATTTGTGTTTGCTAAAAATAAACGATTGTCTGAGCATAGCTGCAGCAGACGATCACCATTATCTGTTCGCTGTGTCGGAATACTAAAATATCCACCTAAATGCCTTTCTGTTTGGTTTAAGCTACCTATCTGAGCATTAAAATCACCTGCTACGAGTACTATGTCTGAGCGTTTAGCTTTCTGAAGAAGTTCAGAAAGCTTTCTGTAAAATTCATCTTTCACTTCATCTGAGCTGCAGTCAGTGGGAGCGTAGACAGAAACGACAAAAAGGCAACGACGTGTGTCCCTATCCTTCCGAGTTCTTACGCAGCCGTTCAGCCGAACAGCACATAGACGACTGTTGACGGGGATCCACTCTAGCAGTGCTTGTTCGGCCCTCATGCTTAGTGCTATGCCTACACCTGCCAGTCCACGAGAACTGGCCATCGGGTCACCAGATACACGAAGGGTGTATCTCGTTGGCTCTCCGTTCTGCCGAGGTGAGGTCAAGTGAATGACCACACTGGGATCCTGTATGCGTGTTTCAGAGACACAGCATACATCAATGGTAAGAGACTCTAGGGTTTTAGCCAAGGAAGCCTGTTGACCGATTTGACATAGAGTGCGTACGTTGAAAGCTCCAATGTGTAGTTTGGAGCGAGGTTTCAGTAGACCTGGGACAGAGTTTTGAGCACTAGAATCGTTGGCTATGGTGACACTTGAAGAGGAAGCCGAAGGAGGAAGTTTAGGGTTGAAAGTCGATGTAGGAGGAATAATAGGAATTGAAGAGGAAGGTTGATTATGAATACAGTGATCTTGGGTGCTGTTAGAGGTATGAGGGCGGTTATCACTTCCCGGTTGCCCACACCGAGGAAGGGTTCTTCTGGAGGTACCTGAAAAGGAAATTGGATTAGAGGTGGTCTCAGTGACCTGAGAGCGTGACCGCAGTGCCCAAGGGACAACTGCTTGAGGCCGGTCGCGCACGGCCTTTTCGTGGAAGGTTTTCGACGTGTTAGCTCCGTTCTTCAAAGGGCCTTACCGCCGGAGACGGAGATCCGTGAGGTAAGGTGAGGTGTGCATTTTTAGGGTCGACCTTTTCTAACCCCACCCCTCCTTGTGGGAAGGCAGCATCGCTGTCATGCTGGTTGTCTGAAGGAAACACCTTACTGCTGTCACACCTCTGTACAGTCAGCAGTACGACTTCGCCTTCGGACCTTGGGTTTGTTGCTTTTAGTCTTACCGCTCTTCAACCGACCTGTCTGACATGGTAGGACCTTGAGGAACAGTTGTTCCAGCCAGTATAGCTCGGTTGCTTCATCACGATAGGCAAGCCCGACCACCACGTCAAGGTAGCAACAACGGTCGGGTTGCTCGTACCGTCCAACCCATCCCTAAACCACTAAATATACTCCACCGAGACGCGTTGGTTAGGCTTACTAAACATATGTCTTAACCCACCACCTTTAGTATAATCTACAAAGTTAAACAGTCTGGTTTACAAGGATACAAATTTAAAACTATTGTGTCGCAGAAACGTTACCAGTTCATCTCAAACCTGGTCTATATGCTACTCCTTCATTTTACTATCTTGAAGAACCCTCTTAATTTAATGAGCTGATACCTACTCATTCCTTCACTTTTTATTTCCATGAAATGAACGATTCTTGTTCATACTTCTCATCTATGATCTATTTCCAGCTCACTGTCTCTCGTTGCCCTATAAGCTATTTTTTAACTTTTGTTTGATATTTCAAGTTACTTTTTTGATCAGTTTTTAAGTAGCCTGTTAGCGGGACATAGACTAGATTAAAGCATGCTCAATGCATGATTGCTTTGGTGCACGCTGATTGGCTAATTCTTATCCAATCAGCACTAGTCGATAGTCGGAGAATACTCTGGAATCTTCTTATGTAAAAACTATAAATATACCGACGTTTTCCCCTATTGTGCTTCCTACTGGCTTCTGACTTGCTATTTGGAATATAATCTCTTTCCTGTTCAACCGTGTTCTGATTTGGGGACTTGTCGAGTGAATCGGTGTCCAAGAATACTAAGCAATAGGAATAGCTGGGTCATTAACCGTAAGAAGAAAGAGATTATAACATAGCCATTGTGTTTAATATCTACATATGCACATGTATAAGCTTACCTAATGACGTCAAAAATAAGATTTCCTTCAATGTGTCGTCTTATTTTCCTCGGAATGTTTGAATGATTTTATTCGGTTCTTGCTTATTGTGATGTGTTTTTATGTTTGTGGATTTGCTGTCTCACTTTTCTGCAAGTTTCTTGGCTGTGCTTTTTATCTGCAAGTGTGTTATCTCATAAACGAAATGGGGCTCACAGCCGATCATGTGTTATTCTAATTTATGAAGTACCCGGGGCGGTAAGTAAGGGTTTGGCAAAGAAAACTTCTCATTGTCATCGTTTTGAGTCTTACATTCGTATTTACAGTAAAAACAGACATAGCAATTTGATTTATAGCAACTAATTAAGTATTTTTTGAAAGCATTTCTATAAAGCACATCATCGTTTTAAATTTATTTGTCTTTCTGTGTAAACTTGTGTTTACTGTAATCGTACATACTTTTTATACCTTACTTTATTCATATTCCGGGTTCATGTTCCTGTAGTGAGCTTCCAGTCACATCCTGACTGTGTAGTATGTATTCTCCTTTAACAGGCTTCCAGTTCATGATGGACGTAATCGTTTTGTAATCAGTCAATCAACAACGACGTAGAACTTCGTACGTACGTACATCAGTTCAAGTTACCACATCACACTAAAACAGAGATACAATTGTCGATTCAAATCCCATAGTGGTAGAGGTAGTAAAAGTATGAGCAGTGATCGGAAAGATTAGGGTTTGAAGACATTATTCAATCAGTATAATCCAGTAAAGTAAATTTGGAAAAAGAAAAAGAGAGACATAAAGAATTCAGATGATTAGAATTTGGGAGAACACAAAGAGTGGATGCACCTGCGCCATTTGTTTTGTAATAATACAAGGATATGTTTGGCTGGCTTAGTTTTTTTAACGTAGAATCCTCTCGTAGTCAAAATTGCTAAAATACTTCAATTATATGTGATGTTAAACTAAGTATTGATGCAAATAAATCTAAAGACAAGCGTGCCTATGTTAACGTTATTTTTCTAACTTCATAATAACCGACTGACTCACCACAGTGTAATGTAATGTATAAACAATTTGTTTTCATTAAAACCTCAGGTTTCAGTCGTGGGCGAGATTCTTTCGGAAAGTGGACAGGTTAACAATCAGCCTATCACCGTTCCAGAATGCAATTTACATGAAGATATTGGAAGCTTGTTATTTAAACAACTGCTGACTGACGTTACTTTAGTTGTTGTTTCTAATAATCCACCAAACGGGAAATGTTTAAGTGATTGTTCTATATCTCATGTACACCAACATTCTTGTGCCTCAGGTCATACTTTACCCGGCTTCAGTTCTGTAAATGAACAAGTAACCAAATTCTCAGCTTACGAATCAACAGGCGAAGAAGATGAAGATGAATTAGATGAAGGTGAAGAATTTGATGATGAAGATGACGATGACGAAGATGAAGATGAACAACAAGAGAATGAGAGTGAACGTGAAGAGGATACACAATCCAGTTATAGAGAATCACAGTTAACTTTCCTGGTTGAAGATGAGATTCATTTAGCTTCTAATGGTAATAATAATAACGAACAAGGTGAAGCAGAAGCAGCTACAGCAACTCATCGAACTTTAGCCACCAGTGATAATCATGCTTCCAGTACTTCATCTCATCCTAATCATCAACTAACGCATGTTATGTCCTCAACACTGACTCCAGCCACAACAACAAATGTACCAACTAAAGGTGTAATAGTTCCTATTGCTTCTACTAATCCTAGTCCATTGTTAGTCCCATGTACGGGTGGTGCTTCAGATCCATCCTCAGTAAAACAATTTCCGTTAGATAATTCAACTAACAATGTTTCTAATGGTGATTGGCGTTCAGCCACATCTTCCAGCTTTGTTTCTACTCAAGGGCACACAAATCGTGACGATCAAGAAGTGAAATCAAATGGTATTTGTGATGTCAGTCAGAGGACTTCCGATGGCACATGGTCTTCGTCCAAAAATGGTAAGTAAAGGATCTCCTGATTGGCCTATACGTTGTTTGTTTGAGTTTGAAGCAAGTTTACTTTCTTGTTTCATATTTTGAGAATGAACCCAACTTAAGTATGAGATTATTTCAAACATTGGTCACAATCCTATAGTAGTTGCTTACAACTGAGGTCTGCTGTTGTATTATATGACATTAACAGGAAGAAGCCTGATCCTAATACGATCTGCAGAAATTGTGTAAAACACTTGATAAGGAGCAGATATGTTTCTTTCATATAGAAGAATTTTTTATCTTTCCCCTTTTTATCACGTTAGCAACTATATTTCTTAAAATCAGGACTAAACTAAGTTTATTGAGTAGGGGTGTGCTCTGAAATAAATTTTAAGAGAGGTTTGTGGTTTTAAAGCTTACTGGCGTGTTATAATATCTCAAAAATTTCGATGATAGTCAAGGTACATGCAAATTTTATTTCGCTGATGATATAACTTGCGTTTTTAGGTGTTCATCGGTGCCGGATGTCCGGTTCAGTGCCGTCCACATCTTCTGCCTTGCCGACAACTACTGATTCTTCATCATCTTCCACTTCAAGCGTTAAGATAAAACAAACTGCTGGACATAACGCGGATGTCGGAAGCAGTAGTACAACTACAAGTAGCACAACCATTAGTCAAAGTAGCTCTCTTGTCAACACTGTATCTACTCCTTTAATTACTTCGAAAGAGGAATCTGAAGATACCGAGGAGTCTGTTGAAGCGGAAACCTCTGGTACTTCTAGTCGTGTACGGCGTAGTACACGTAGAAGAAACACTACTTCAACTACCACAACTTCGAATCGTCCACGCAACCGGAATAGTCGGGATTCATCACTTTTGGCTACAGTTTCAAAGGTTGCTTCAACCACTTCATCTCATTCTAATCTCGTCGCTACTCCATCGAGCTCTACAGCGTGCTCATTGGGTACAACAAATCAGACTGTGAAGTGTTCTAGCATGGGTACCGGTAATAGTAGTAGTTCAACGGTAAACGGAGCTTCAAGTTCCAGTGTTGTACTTCGCCAATTCGAAGCACACAAAGCTATTCTAGCCGCTCGAAGCCCAGTTTTTGCCGCGATGTTTGGACACGGCATGGAGGAGTCCAGAGCGAATAGGGTGGAAATCACGGACATGGAGCCAGATACCGTTGCAGAAGTTTTGCGATACATATATACGGGACAAGTTGTTGGTATGAATCGACTTGCTCACGAGTTATTGGCCGCGGCTGACAAGGTTGGTATTTTTCTGTTTGTATTTTGTACTCAGTTAAGTTTTTAAAAAAGTCTAATAAAATTTACTTATATATAGGTTTTTTGTTATTTCCCGACCGTCGCTGCTACCTTGACGTGGTGGTCGGGCTTGCCTATCGTAATGAATCATTTGAGCTATACGTGTTGGAATTCGGTCAGCTACAACATAGAACCAGTCACATATATACATTAGTCCAAGTTTCCATACCTCATTAACACAGCAAGATGAAGACCGGATTCATAGAAATAGTTAATTCAATGGTGTAATAAATAAAGGGAAGATTATATATAACGATATAGTACAGAAAGAAAGAATTAGTTCGTAGAAATGATATGAAATAATTTTAATCTCATAGTTTAAGGGAAGACAAACAGTGTCTACATCTACTACTGGCAGGATTCTAATCCTGTACTCACACTCTGGGTAGTGAACAGATAGAAGTAGTCGAGAAGTTCGTGTATCTAGGTGACTACATAAGTGCTGGTGGTGGTGTGAGTGATGGGATCAATGCACGTATAGTGAAAGCCAGAGTGGCTTATGCCAATCTGGGCCATCTTTGCGCCTTCGTGATGTTAGTCTGACTGTGAAAGGTCGGATTTACAACGTGTCGGTGAGAGCAGTTCTGCTCTATGCTTGTGAAACCTGGTCTCTCCGAATTGAGGATGTTAGACGACTCTGTGTTCGATCATCGTTGTCTCCGAAGGATTGCTGACATCCAGTGGCAACATCATGTTAGTAATGCAGAGGTTCGGCACCGTGTGTTCGGGCACAGAGACAATAATGTAATTGGTATCACCATCTTGAAACACCGACTTCAGTGGCTTTGACATGTTCTACGAATGTCGTCCCAGAGAATTCCTCGTCGTGCATTATTTGCCGACTCTGGGACTGGTTGGGAGAAGCGGAGAGGTGGTCAGTGTATGACATGGTGTCGTGGCATAAAAGAAAGCTGTAAAGAACTGGCTTATGTTGGTCCTTCACGACTCCCTGGTTAGGGTCATAGAGATGGTGCTACACAGTGGCTAGAGACTTTATCAGATATGGCTTTGAATAGAAGCCAGTGGCGATCCTGCTGTAACCTTTTACTTTCTTCGTACAAAGTGGTTGTATCTTCCTTAACTGAAAGATTTCTTCTGATTGTACCTTTCCATTCCCCTATTATTACCACTGTTATTATAACATTACCTTACACTAATCTCTTCCTTATTGTTCTCTTTTTTCACTCTTCTTACCTTTTTTCTTTTTCTTTCTCTTTAAATTTTCATTTTGTGTGGCGCATACATATTTGGCGCACTCTTGTAGCAATATTTATGTGTTCAAATAAAAAAAATACATCTACTCCATTGTGATCGATTCTGAGCTATGTCACACTCACCAACCACGGGTTACGATAGTCACATGGATCCCAACCAATTAGTCTGCATCTACCAAGATGGATCAGATCAGAAGTTAGTGATTGCAATAAGAAAGAATTAGTTCGTAGAAAAAAAATATGGATCAATTTTAATCTCTTAGTTTAAGAGAAAACAGAGAGTGTATACACCGACGCCATTGTGATCGATTCTGAGCCATGTCACCAAGAGTCTCCAACCATTGGTTACGATAGTCACACGGACCCCAACCAAGTAGTCTGCATCTACCAACATGGCTCAGACTAGAAGTTAGTGACTTCATGCATTGATGCCACATTTTGATTTGGCCGCCACTAACTTTCTTCCAACCATCCACAACACTAGTCATCATTGCGCGTCATGGTAATCGGTGTTCAGGCATACGCATCACGTGGGACAACCGTCTCAGTCGATGAAGATTCACAACCCCATCAACTGATTTACCATCCTTCGCTAATACCTTGCGTCTAACTTCATAATTACTTACCCGGTGATCCCACCAGATGCGAGCGATATTTCTGAGACATCTGTGGTCAAATACTATTAGCTTGTGACTAACTCTTAATGGCCACGTTTCGCGTCCGTAAAGTAGAACAGAACGGACTTCCGCACAGTAAACTTGCCCCTTAATTGATAGACGGATATCTCGCCTTCGCCATAGGTGACGTAATTTGGTAAGAGCTAAACGAGCCTTTATAATCCGTGCTGAGGTTTCGTCAGACACCAACCCATTAGGGCTGATCAGACTTCCAAGATAATTAAAGTTGTCGAGGCGTTCAATTACTTCACTCTCTATACTTAGTTCAGGTGCTGACGCAACCTTTGTTTTATATTTTACTACCATTGAAGCAACCACTTCCACGAATTTAGAGTTCATCTTGTGCTAATGAGGTGTGGCAACTTGGACCAATGCATATATGTGCCTGGTCTTATATTGTATCTGACTGACTGACTTGTAGAAGGCGATTAATGTCCAAGTAGATAGCTTAAACCAAACAAATACATTTAGGTGGGTACTATGGTATTCTGACTCAGCAAACAGATAATAGTGACCATCTGCTGAAACTGTGCTCAGACAATCGTTTATTTCTAGCAAGCTTTAGTTTTATGCGTAAGAAGATACATCGTCTAATATGGCGACCCCTTGCACCAAACCAACGATGTACTCAAATAGACCATATTTTCATCAGTCATTGCTAGAGAGGCTTGAAAGCAGACTGCCGCTCGTTCTGGAGTACATGTTGAGACTGATCATGCTCTCATACGAGCACATATTTGCTTGCACCTCACTGGACGCAGGAAAGTCACATTGAGAAAACCTATTAAAGTTGGTCTCAGCTATAAGAAAGATAAAGGTAAATTCCGGGAACAACTGAGGCCACACTTGGTCAATTTCGTAAACTCAGTTAGCCCAGATGTTGCTTAGAAAGTTATGTGAACTGCTGTGGATTTGAATGTCTAACTTCAACCAACTCCATTAGATACCGGCTCAGTGGTTAAAAGACTGATTGTTCGCGCGAGACCAAAGGTTCTGGGTCTGACCCCTACGTGGGCTTCGTAAATGCTCATTACGTAGGAGTCCCACACTATGGCGAAACGGTCGTCCTTTGCCTTCAGGTTTTCAATGGTGGTCTAACATTGATCGGTTCATGACTCAAATGTAATTCCACAGTTTCCGTAACCCTACGAAAAGTAGTTCATTCATTACATTTTTATTTGAAATTTCTGCTTCATTTCGTTTTGTATTTGTGTTGTTAATTTTTCAGTACCAATTAGAACGATTAAAAACAATGTGTGAAGAGGCTCTTGTGGAAAGTCTTTCTGTAGAGAATGCGTGTGATATATTTGGACTTGCTGATATGCATAATGCAGAACAATTGAAAGCACATACGCTAGAATTCATAATGCTGTAAGTTTCTAGTAGATTGTAACTAATTTGTATATGTCAATACCCAGCCTTCTAGTAGGTAAGTCTCTGTCCAACTAGGTCTGTTCTGACGTCTGTTACTGTAACTATAGGTAATGGGAGTTGAATTATATGCGGAGTATCGGTTCCTTCAAAATTGTACGTTCTTTGTGATTTAGGTCAGCGGTCTAAAAACATAGGTCCCTTGGCTTTCTTTTGATTGCCTTCACCCGACCCAAGCTGCTACCTTGACGCAGTGGTCGGGCTTGCCTATCGTGATGACCCAACCGAGCTATATTGGCTGGAACATATGTTCCTGTAGGTTCTACCATGCCAGGCAGGTCGATTGGTGAACGGTAAGACTAAAAGCAGCAACTCAAGGTCTGAGGGCGAAGTCGTACTGCTGACTGTAGAGAGGTGTGACAGCAGTAAGGTGTTTCCCTCGGACAACCAGCATGACAGCGATGCTGCCTTCCCACAAGGAGGGGTGGGGTTAGAAAACGTCGACCCTAAAAATGTCACACCTCACGTTACCTCACGGATCTCCGTCTCCGGCCGTAAGGCCCTTTGAAGAACGGAGCTAACACGTCAAAAACCCCCCACGTAAAGGCCGTGCGCGACCGGCCTCAAGCAGTTGTCCCTTGGGCTCTGCGGTCACGCTCCCAGGTCGTTAAGACCAACACTAATCCAATTTCCTTTTCAGGTTCCTCAAGAAATACCCTTCCACGGTGTGAGGTTCATGGGGTTGTTCCACCAGATGGCATACGGTGCTTAACGGGACATCAACTAAATGCAGCTGGTCGAACCAATCTAAACCAAGTAAATTTAGATCAGCTGGCGTTATGTAACATACCCCGGTAAACGTTGAATCGTGAAAAGACACTTTACAATCTAGTTGTCCCAACAAACGTAGGTGATTACCGCATGCAGTACGAGGTTTCTGTGTTGTTGGCACCGTGTGTGGTCTGCCCATTCTGATCCAAGATTTTCGTGAGAGAATTGTCACGTCAGATGCAGTGTCTATTTTCAATTTAAACGGATGCCTATTAATATTAAGGGTAATAAATTTCCTCTCACCTGGGGTTTAGTTCTGACAGGTTGCTACTAGACTCAAAGAATTTGTTCAGGATTTAGGGACAGGCTTCCTGGTACTTCTGGAGCTGTTCGGCTTTTTTTGTTGTTGACAAAACCCATCTTTATGACCCAGAGCTTTACATTTCCTGCACCGATGTTGTTTATATGGACAGCTTCGAACAAAATGCCATGCACCGCAGTGCCATTGTTGGGCAAGAGGATTTGTTTTTGCCTGTTGACTTGAACTAGGAGTAGTCGAGGCAGATTTATGCGGGTTAGGTGGTTGTTGGACTACATGAACTTCGGTACGATCTAGACCACCGCGCTGGACTATCGTAGTGTCACTCTGCAAATTCATTAGACGTTGATATTCATTTGCAATATCAGTGAGTGTCAATTTAGGGTCTTGGTCTAATCGACTTAGCAAACGTGTTCTAATGTCACTGCAGATGAGAATAAGGGCTTTAAATTGGTCTTCAGTAAGCGACTTCAACTGGAAGCGTTCGCATTCTCGGTTGACGATACCCACATGCGTGAGAAAATCAGCGTCTTCGTTCATAGTCAGCTTCAAACATCGATAACGTGCGTTGAACAGTGAGGAGTTATCTCCAAATTGTTGGCTCAATGACTGGACGGTATCCGAGAATGAGTGCTCACGTGGGTTTAGAGGCAGAATTAAGTTACAATATCTATCTAAATCACTAGGACCCAGTTTTCGAAGCAGCAAGCGGACTTTCCAAGCATCATCCTGATTAGCTAAGTCAAATTTGAATAAGTCTTCATAGCATCGAAACCACATATCAGATGTAACACTGGAATCAGGATTATAATGAAACTCGAAGATACTGTTAGCGATTCCATCAACTGGTGGTGCAGAAGTAGTAGTACTAGAAGTCCTTGGTTTCGTGTTAGGCGTAAGCTTTGCATCTGCTAACATTTGCATTAGTTCTAGCTGTTACTCGAGCAATTGTTCTACTTTTGAAGGATCCATGTTTGCGCCAACTCCGTCGCTAAATTTACTAGGTTTGAAGCGATTACGAGTTCACTTAATCTGGGAACCGGAACAAAGTCTTCATATCGATGTCTGCTGTCTATCCGAGACCCGTATTCAAGACTCTGGCGAAGTACTACAAATTCGATCTCCATCTGTCGCTCCGAAAAGCTTGTTTTACGTTCGCTTATCCGGGGACCCTGTGGCATCTTCGTCTGGTCTTGCTGGCGTTGATGTCGCACTGAGCGCTAGAGCTGAAGCAGCACTAGTCGATTGGATTCCCATTAACAGTCGGTTATGTGCTGTTAGATTAGAGAGTTCCATCAAAGTGAGAAAAAGTCGGCGTGAGAAACGATGTCTTTTCGTCATCTCCGCCTGTGCCCCGACAGATTGCAGCCCGGATGCAATCAAGGATGAGTTTTACCACCAGTTATCTGTTCTTCTCCAGAAAGTGCGTTCAACAGATATTGTATTACTAGCCGGAGACTTGAATGCTCAGGTCGGGCGTCTAGGCACAGAAGAGAGTCGTTTAGGTGGCCGATGGGGACTCGTTGGTCGCAGGTCAGATAACGGGGACCGTCTACTGCAACTTTGCATAGACCACAACCTGTTTCTGGCTAGCACTAACTTTCGGCACAGTCATCGCCGATGTGCCACCTGGCGTCCTCCCTCTGCATCCCAAGCCTGGACTAAGGTTGATCACATCGCGATCAGCTACTGCTGACGTGGTTGTAAACAAGGCTGCGGCTCCTTTTGGAGTACCTATCTGGACTCTGACCATGCATTGGTCTGCGCCAATCTTGCCTTACTTTTCAGTGGCCAACGAAGTGACCAAAACCAAAAGATTGATGTTAGCAAGCTGGTTGCAACTTCTGTTGCAAGTAAGTATCGAACCGAGCTAGCCTCTAGGCTAGCCAATCAGCGTGCACCAAAGCAATCATGCATTGAGCATGCTTTAATCTAGTCTATGTCCCGCTAACAACTTTCTTCGTACAAAGTGGTTGTATCTTCCTTAACTGAAAGATTTCTTCTGATTGTACCTTTCCGTTCCCACATTTCTACCATACTACCTTACACCAATCTCTTCGTTATTGTTCTCATTTTTTTGCGCTCCTTAGCTTTTTTTCTTCTATTTCTCTTCGAAATCTCATTGTTTTGTATGGCGCATATATTTTGGCGCTCTCTTGTACCAATATTCATGTGTTCAAATAAATAAATAAATACAAAGACTCGGTAACCAAAAGACCAAATAAGCTAGCTATTCGATGCGTCCCAGACCCGCTAACTAGAGGAAGAAGTCTAAGCTTGGAATGGGGAAGTATATTCCACAAGAGCCAGAAAACGAGCGATAACAACAAGCACAAATCAAAACGTATATATACAGCACAAAACCATCCTTGGGGAGAGTTAAAAAAATAGCATACTAAAAGTCACAACGAACCAATAGCATTTAAGATTCTCCCAAGTGGAAAATACGACATGAAGATAAAAGAAATTCAAATTTTCTAAATAAAATTACAAAATTAGGTCCTTTTCAAAGTGAGTTCTGGGGATCTAACGTCCATAACACCAATTGATTGTGAATATTGTTTGTCTGAATGTAAATCGAGGCTTGAATAATTTTTCAATGTTGTAATTATTATCCGACTTGTGTGAAGGCTGCTCCATTTTTTTGGATTCAGGGTTTTTCAACTCCCCTAGGTGAATCCTCCGTACCTATCAACCCGGTTAAAGTACCGGGCATTCGCTTTTCATCCTTTCAATTTCGTAAAGAACATCCTTGCCGAGCGAAGGCAATGGGTAGGACTTCTTCGGTAATGGCTGTATACGCGAGTCCATGTGAGGGCATTTCGAGGAGAGGAGACTCTCTCCACCCTCGATTATATCAAGGCATTTGGGAGTACTAATCTTCGATAAGCGGACTGAGCATGGTAATAGGTTAGACTACTTGATTGAAGTCTGCGTGATTATTGTAATCAATTGTTAGAGAGTTTAAGTGATACTGCTAATAATCGTTCGTAATGGCACAGCTACATATACTCTTTATCTTCCTCGAGAACAGAAGTCCCGAAATCTTACACCTTTTCTTTTTCTATACTTAATTCTTCCTACTTAATTTGATACTGTCACTACTTCTGAAATTCGTCCTGAAGTAATTTTATCTCACTGTGCTAATGTTGTATGACAACTTGGTGCAAATATGTCCGGTTCGACGTTGTGTGTAGTATCATCAAAAGACAACACAACTAAGTAGGCAGCACATATGTTAAATCTATGTTTTTAGTAAAATAACACAAACAAAACATGGGAGTGATAATTCTTCTAATTGAACGCTAGATTCGGTTTCTTAAGCTCTCTAGTAACCCCCAGGCTAAATCTATACAGCTACTTGACCATAAGAGAAAAGGCGCGAAATATGGAAGAAACGCTTTAAGGTTCGTTTGTATACTGAAAATCTAGGATATTTATAGTATTTCATTTGGCCTTGGCCTTTCGGGAATTTTTGGAACGATACTAAGCATAATAGCAGCATGGATAATCATCCAATCAGAAACGCAATATGTGACTTTTGACTTTCTAGATGTTTCTAGCAAAAGTTCTATTGAATGCCGATTGGATAAGATGTTTCTCAGCGTTTCCAGAGCCTTTTTTCGAGGGGTTTTCTGGATCTTCCCAACAGAGATAATTTAAATATGATTATAATTTACAGACAACGTAACCTATTGTAACTTACAATAATATCCGAAATTTAATAAATATCCAATGAATCTACCATCATTGATGGTGTCACTCCATTTTCTCTTCAATGGAAGTAACGTATTTTATTATGAATAATAAGTTGATAAAAGCTCCCTTACATTTATGTACATTTTTCGGATTCAATGAGTATGGGTAAGAAGCACGGAATTTTTCAATGGTGACATTTCAAAATAAGCTCCATTTAACTACTTTTTATGTTCGGAAATTAAAGTGGTAGTAATGTCTACATTTGTTAATGTCTCTGGTTCGATTTTCTTCTTGGATGTTTTGTAACGAACGATCTAAGAAAGATAGAAACCGTGTTTACTTGTGAAAAGCTTCTTTTAAGCTAATCACTTTATCTTTTTTTTTAACGAAAAAAACTAATGAAGTGTCTCTTATTTTCCCAGCCATGCTCATGATGTGTGCGAAACTGAAGGCTATGAACAGCTGGTCCGACATCGTCCACGTCTACTAAATGAGTGCTTTCGAAGTTTAGCTTCACAACAACTCCCTCTTCGATGTTGGGCTCGTAAACGTCCAAGGCAATCATAAATTAATAAAAAAAGCACATTTCTAAATGACCTATCAATAACATCCCCTGTGTATTAAAATTTCCCTTATCCTGAACTCCATGTTCTTTATAATTTTCCTTTTCTACATATCTTTCCTCTGTTTTCAAATCATTTATCTTACATAAAGTAATAAAAAAAAGTAGGAACCTATTAATTACTTTTTGTGCTTTTCAATATTTTATGGATGACCTAAAACTCTAAAGCATTTTTGTTCTTTGTTTCCTAATTAGAATTATTTTGGTTCAGGAAAAATCAAACAAACATTCAAGTTATCTTCTTCCGTTGGGTATCTAGTTGCCTATTAGTCTAAATTTGTTACCTTCCTCTAACTTGTGCTTCTTGCTTAATCTTTTCATATTTTGTGCGTTGTTTGATCATTGTGCAGAGTAGTTCAATTTTATTGCTTTACTCAATTTCCAGCGTTGAACACTTCACCTTTTTTCCTCTGCTATGGTCAAGGTGCTTGTTTCACATTGATCTCATTTGTTTATAAACATTGTGATTTAGTCTCACTTTTCTCTGTTCTTCGGTGTGAGATTAATAGTGTTATCTCTCCTGTGGAAATGTTATTCTCATCGTAAATTTATTGTATGCGTATATCTTATCAATTTTTGCATTAATTAGCAAAATACATTTTATTGTTATTACAATAATTATTACTGGTACACTTTTCCCCGCTTAGGTTTTAAAGAATCGATGACACATTATTGTGAAAGTGTTCATTGACGAATTTAACTATTGTTTTAATGCCACATTCCTAGCCATTCTTATGAGGTAGCCTAATCCATTGATTTTTCTCATATGATTTCATAGTTTACTTTCAATAATTTATTATATCATTGTTTCCAGTGCGAAATCAACTATAAAGTTGAAGTAACGAAGAAAGTGAGCTGTTCTGTGGACTTATACTTTTATGGAAGAAATTTATCTACTTGAATCTATGTCTTACCAACTGCTTTAGCTGCATACATAGCAAGACCTCATTCTCAAATTTCGCAAAGATGTTTAGTTGTTTTATCATTGTCATGACCTTGAATCGCTTTTTACCCCGTCGATACTTCGTTATGACTTGACCTTGATCTCTCTAGTCTAGATTATGACTTTGGCGCGATAGGCTGAGCGGCTTAACCTTGAGTCTAGCACGCGTGAGTTCGAGTTGGAGTAGAGAGAGAACCATTCTAGAAGCTGATTGGTTGGCAAGCACGCAAGTGAGAGAAGACAAGACAGTTGGAACACTCTGAATTCGGATTAGTGCAAAAATGTACATGAATAAATAAGTGAATATCCTGACCACAACGTACCATAATTAGGAAAAATACAGTCATGTCCAAAACTGGGAATTGGGGTAGAATATAAGATGCAGAATAGTATGTTTAAATTACAATAGTTTCGGAACAAAAAGGGGTATGACAATGCATGATACATCGAACGAAAGCTCATATTCTGTAGGATAAAATAGGGACAAAAATAAATTTCAGCGTTTTACAAGCTTTGAATAAAATGAAATAACGTCCCAAGAAAATAGCTTTCGTAGTTTGTCAGGGCTTCTTGTTTCCCTGTTCACAACAATCATTAGGGGTTGAGATATTCGTCAACTTATTAACATTTCGTGATTGGGGAGGGGTCGACCTCATAAACGTACGCTAGCAGTTGGACGACATTATAAGTATCATCCCTTAGTTTTGTAAATGCCGTCGTTTGAATGGGGATATTTACAGATTTTGGGCTAAGTCAATTGTGAAAGTGTTTCAAAATTTCTAGATACCCGGAATTTATCTTGATTTCTTAAATCTCACTCCTATTTGAGATCGGCCCTCACCTTCAATGATAACGATTGCTGTGCAATAGGATAATCCAACTTGAACCTGAAGCATCTAGGTTTTAAACTGTAGTCCTTTCATTAGACAAGAACAGGAGACTTGGTCTAATGTTGATGTTGAATAATTACGATCAGTTTATTCGGCACTATATCTAGTATCTCAATGAATAGAGAGTCCAGAACAATGAAGTTAACAATAAAATTAGTTACATGAAACTAGGAGGCTTGCTATGGAATTCATATAGATATGAGATGCCCGAAATACCACGTGTTTGAAGTGTAGATGCTTCGGCTTCACTATTGACGTTTTTTAACCAACCAATGAAAATATCTAACAGACTGCTTGTTATTTCTTGTAAAATTCAACTAGGAGAACTTTCAATAATCTATACCAATGTTCATATTTGATGGCTGGTTTTTTTAATACCACTGGCAGTTTGTACTTAATAGCAGAGATTAGATCAACAGTCAATAACTTTAAAATTAAAACACGAATTTCAGCGAAGGGATCTCTTTTCAACGAATTTATTATCAAGCTGTACAATAACTTCACGAACTAACATGTCATATTGGTTTGATATTTTGCCTTCCTCTAACCCAAACCAACAAACATTTTGTCCACGTAGTACCCCGAATGGGACGGAACTGACTAGGATTATGACCTATTCAGTGAACGGCGACATGACCGTCGGTAGACTTTTAGTTATTATTATTTATTTCAACACGTAAATATTGGTACAAGAGAGCACCAAATATATATGCGCCACACCATATTTGCGTGTGTGTGTGGGCTGTGATACTGCCCGGGTGGTGCCCACCCCACTCTCGGCCATACCAGGGCATTTGGGGGCTTGTGTGTTCCAGATACATGTGTAGTGCTTGATGACTTGTCATTTACTGAGGGGGTCAGGTTTCAGACGTTTATTGGTTTTTCTGTATACTTTTGACTAATATTTTTAGATGGACATCGATGTTCACTCAAACCATAAATCTCCATCTTTGACGGAAAGTGCATTGCGACATACTGTTTTCAAGTCATGAAGAAATTCTTCATAAAATGGCTCTAACTAGTGAAGCCTTAAAATCTTCGGCAGAAATGGATTACTACTTTATAGTGACTTAGAACTGCTCAGCAGTTTCTACCAACAACGTTTTAGATTACTTAAGTTTCCTGGTGAACACTACTTACAGATAATTGAGTTTAAATTCAGTTTCTCTCGGAGATTTTAAAGACTTAATTGTTCTCAATTTCTAAAAGCACAGGACCTCAGTAGAATTTATTGGAAAGTATGTTTTTCGTTCGAATATCTTTTTAAATATGATAGAAATTTTCAAACAATCAGTAATGTATTCCAATAGTTAAAAACATATCCATTTGATGCCTACAAGAAATTATATTGTAGTAATAGCTGAACAATCTATTCAATATGTTTTAAAACACTGAGTTAATCCGTTCCCATTCTATGACAGCAATACACTGCATTTGGTAATTACAATTCATAAATTAGTTCATTTGTATTCTATAAGCATTTTGTATTTTTCTGTTTGTAGTGTTTATCATCTAATTGAATTCTGTTATTAGTGTAAGAATTTTATTTGAAAGATGATGGAAAAACATATAGTTCGTGTACATTCTGATGTACAATAGACTGTTAGCTGAGAATACTAATAGTCACATGTTGACCTTACTAGTGTTAAACTGTTTATATCGAGTTATATTGAATAATGACAACGGATTTGTTGATATGATCTCATGACTTTTTCTCTTGCGTAATACAGTCTTATTGACTTGACTAACGTTAGTTTATTTGACAAAGAGTTATGCTTTTTCAAAATAACACAATTAAATTCATGTTTTATTGTGCATAAGCTGTGTTCTATAGGAAGCCGGTGTCAATGACATTGAATATTTAGTCAACTATATATACCTATTGTTAGTAGAAAATAACTCATTACATATATATGTGATTCACAGACTGCATTACACTGAAGCATTTCAATAAACCAACTGTGAGAGAGAACAAACCAGATCCCAGCGGAGAAAGAAATCAGGAAGAAGCGCTGGAAGTGGATAGGACACACATTAAGGAAAGCACCCAACTGTGTCACAAGACAAGCCCTCACATGGAATCCTGAAGGTCAAAGGAAAAGAGGAAGACCAAAGAACACATTACGCCGGGAAATGGAGATAGACATGGGGAGAATGAACAAAATTTGGATAGAAGTAGAAAGGAAGGCCCAGGACAGAGTGGGTTGGAGAATGCTGGTCAGTGGCCTATGCTCCATTGGAAGTAACAGGCGTAAGTAAGTAGATTTCAATAAACGTAATTCTTACAGAAGTTCCAATCAGTACAATTTATCACTTTGTAGATAACATGTCTTTCTAGAATATATTTGTTCAAAATATTTAGATTGAAAGTTTTGTTAAAGTTTGGTCAAGTGTTGTTTTCACACTAATCATCATAGTTAACATTTTAAGTCATTGTTATTGTTTAATAAACTTATAAAATGTGATTTTATTAGCCCATATTTGTGGAATTTTACTGAGATATTATGTATAACGCTTCCAGTTAAACAGTTTAACCAAAGAAAAAATTGAAACGAGAACTATACAACTTTCATTTGATATCCTTTTTCATGTAACCATATTTTGTCAACACTAATAATAAAATCCTCTACTGTCTTGTACATATACAATTAATTATTTGAATGCCACAGATATTGTATATCTGAATGTCAACAAAATATTGTATGTATGTGCACTCATATTTTTTTAACGTTTAGGTGTACATAGAACTCCGCCTGTAGCTCTTCTACAGTTACTACCGGTCCCAGGTAAAGGAGGAAGGTTGGGCATAGGGTTAGCGACCCTATCCCGTAGAAAACGAACTCGCAAAAAAACAGTAACCACAAAAAGTAATTCAAACCATTTAAACTCTGCCCTGGGAGTTAGAAGGTCGTCATTTAAAAGAACTATGATGCCTCATGATGAAAGAAGAGTTCCGTCGGAAGTCACGAGGCTGATGACCCTTCTAACAACCAGAGCAAAAATTTTTATAGGTACATGGAACGTCCAGACGATGTGGGAGGCTGGGAAAACCAGTCAAATAGCAACGGAAATGAGGAAATACAATTTGACAGTACTTTTAATCAGCAAAACCTATTGAACCCAAGCTGGACAACAAAGGCTAAATACGGAAGAGATGCTTCTATACTCCGGTCACGAAGAGGAAAATGCTCCACACACTCAGGGAGTCGCTCTAATGCTGTCCAAAGTAGCACGAAATGCACTTGTAGGATGGGAATCTCACGGGTCCAGAATCATCAAAGCATCATTCAAAACAAAGAAGGAGGGGATCACAATGAATATTATCCAATGTTATGCACCCGCCAATGATAGCAACGACGATATTAAAGTCAATTCTACGACAGGCTGCAGTCAATCATAGAGAAGTGCCCAAGAAAGGACCTCACCATCCTGATGGGAGATTTAAATGCCAAAGTCGGAATAGACAACACCGGATATGAAGATATCATAGGACAACATGGACTGGGAGAGAGAAACGAAAATGGAGAAAGATTTGCAAATCTGTGTGCATTCAACAAATTGGTCATAGGAGGCACGTTTACAAAAAGCTACATGGATCTCACCGGACCACACTGCAGAGAACCAGATAGATCATATTTGCATCAACAAAAAATTCCGAAGGACAATGGAAGACATGAGAACCAGGAGAGGTGCTGACGTAGCTTCAGATCACCACTTGGTTGTGGTCAATTTAAATCTGAAAATAAAGAAGAACTGGACAACTGGACAAACAGCAATACAAAGGTTCAATACGGCCTTCCTTCGAGATACTGACAGACTCAATGAATTCAAGATAGCTCTCAACAACAGGTTCCAAGCCTTACAGGATCTACTGAAGGAAGAAGAAACTGCTATGGAGGACAACTGGAAAGGTGTCAAAGAAGCATTAACTTCAACATATCAGGAGGTTCCGGGCCTCAAGAAGCACCATCATAAGGAATGAATCTCTACAGAAACTCTAGACAAGATCAAAGAAAGGAAGAACAAGAAGGCAGCAATTAAAAACAGCCGAACACGAGCAGAGAAAGTCCAAGCACAAGCTGAATACATAGAAACAAACAAGCAAGTGAAGAAGAGCATTAGAGCCGACAAGAAGAAATACGTGTAAGAATTAGTAACGACGGCGGAAAAAGCTGCAAGAGAAGGAAATATGAAACAGCTTTATGATACAACGAAGAAACTAGCAGGGAAATACAGTAAACCAGAGAGACCGGTCACAGACAAAGAAGGTAGGCCAATCACTGAAATTCAAGAACAGGGTAACAGATGGGTAGAGTACTTCGAGGAATTCCTGAATAGGCCGGCTCCAATGATTCCACCGCACATCGAAGCAGCACACAGATCTTCCTATAGATGTCAATCCACCAACGACGGGAGAAATCAGAATGGTCATCAGACAAATCAAGAGAGGGAAAGCAGCAGGACCTGACAACATACCAGCTGAAGCACTGAAGTCAGACATCGAAGTAACTACAAGCATGCTTCACCTTCTATTCAAGAAGATTTGGGAGGAAGAACAAGTGCCGATGAATTGGAAAGAAGCACACCTCATCAAGATTCAGAAGAAAGGAAATTTGAGCAGATGTGAGAACTACAGAGGCATCACACTACATTCAATACCAGGGAAAGTCTTTAACAGAGCGTTTCTGAACCGGATGACAAACGGAGTAGACGCTCAACTTCGAGATCAGCAAGCTGGATTCCGTAAGGATCGGTCGTGAATAGACCAAATTACGACACTACGGATCATCGTCAAACAATCAGTTGAATGGAACTTGTCACTGTACATCAAATTCATTGGTTATGGAAAGGCGTTTGACAGCGTAGATAGGAGAACGTTATGGAAACTTCTTCGACACTACGGAGTTCCTGAGAAGATTATTAACGTTATCCAGAACTCAGACGACGGACTACGGTGCAAAGTCCTGCATGGAGGACAGCTGACAGATGCGTTCCAAGAAAGGACCGCAGGGAAAACACGGCATACAATGGATAGCTCAGAACCAATTAAACGATTTGGACTGCGCAGATCACCTAATCCTCTTATCGCATACACATGAACAAATGCAGATAAAGACAGCAAGTGTAGCAACAGTCTCTGCATCAGTAGGCCTCAGCATACACAAGGAGAAAACCAAGGTCCTCAAATTCAACACGGAGAACAGCAATCAAGTCACTCTTAATGGCGAAACTCTGGAGGATGTAGAATCCTTCACATACCTGGGAAGCAACATCGATGAACAAGGAGGTTCAGATGCAGACGTAAAGGCGAGAATTGGCAAAGCAAGGGTCACATTCCTACAATTCAAGAACACATGGAACTCAAAACAACTTTCAACCAATATCAAAGTGAAAATCTTCAATACGAACGTCAAGGCAGTTCTACTGTATGAAGCAGAAACTTAGAGAACTACAACAACCACCATCAAGAAGGTACAAGTATTTATAAATAGCTGTCTTCGCAAGATACTCAACATCCATTGGCCGGATACCATCAGCGACAGCCTTTTGTGGTAGGGAACAAACCAGCTGTAGAAGAAATTAGGGAAAGACGATGGAAATGGATAGGACATACATAACGCAAATCGTCGAACTGCATCACGAGACATGCCCTAACTTGGAATCCTGAAGGGAAGCGGAAAAGAGGAAGGCCAAAGAACACATTACGTCGAGAAATAGAAGCAGATATGAAAAGGATGAATAACAATTGGAAAGAGCTGGAAAGGATTGCTTGGGACAAGGTTTCATGGAGAATGCTGGTGGACGGCCTATGCTCTTTCACGAGGAGTAACCGGCGTAAGTAAGTAAGTAAAGTTGCACATAGATGCTTAAGAGCATGGTGTTTGATTTTGATCTTTCTCCAGATTCTAAGCTTGTGAATTCCATATAATTTTGTTATACTTCACTGATTTATATTTTATTAAATCGTATCTTAAATGCCCACTCTTTAATATAACTAATACAGTCACTGACTCTACTATTCTGGGATTCTTCTTAACAAATTCATCTTGTTGAGTTTGTAGCGTGGCGTCGAGTCGAGATTGACTATGAACACCACCACAAAGGAACGCGTGCCAGGATATCCATAAAATCCCCCGGAAGCCAAATATCAGAAGGCAGTTAATGGACCAAGTCGAGATATATTTGCTGGCCATCTCGTGGTATCGAAAGAATACCGAGATCGTGCCAGGATACAAGCTTGGTTACTGAGCGTAACCGGATTCGCGCGAGGTCACAATCGAAGTGTAAGAACAATAATGGAAGCACAATATGGCTGTCATTGGCACAGTTAAACAAGGAGCACATTAAAACAAACACTGGTACAATTGGTTATCATAATAATTGTTTTCATTAAACCAATCGTGTTCTCGTGATAAAAGTAAGTCACTACAAGTTAATGGGATGTGGTGACTTGAACTGATATGCACACGTACCACGGTCTACGTTGTGTTTGACCGACTGAACGTGTTACACTTACTTACGAACATAGGCCTGTTACTTCTCATGAGGGTACAGGATGCCAACCACAGATATCCAACCAATTAATGGGCCTTCCTTTCCAGTCGTTGCTACGTGCTTTCCATGGTCGTGACGTTCGCCTACAATTCACACTCCTATTTGTTTTTCCGTCTAACCATTCTCTTTTAGTCTTGAGTATTGCAATTTAGGATTTGACTTTCGATGCAGTTTGATGGTTTCTGCAAAGTTTGTCCTACCCATATCTAGCGTCTTTTTCTAGTTTCCTCTTCAGCTAGTGGCTAGTTTGTCCTCTGTCACAGTCGATTATATCTGATAATTTTTGGCCAAACGATTAAGATTATCCTGTGTAGACAGTTATATAATATAGCCTTGTGGGCCAGGGTAAATTTACATTGGTTCTCAGGAGAAACGGACACCATCCAGACTTTCGCGTGACAACCAGAACAGTACAGGTCAATCCCGTTTCCAGGAGAACCAGACACCATAGAGGCTTTAACGCTACAATCTGAACAGTACAGCTCAATCTTGTAGAGCAACCACACAGGTACTAAATAGTCTGGTGGACAGTTGTTTATAAATACCTGTACTTTTTTGATGATGGTTGTAGTGGTTCTCCATGTTTCGGCTCCGCACAACAGGACTGTCTTGATTTGTGTGTTGAAAATTATGACTATGCACTTGGAGGATAGTTCTTTAAAGTTCCAGATATTCTTCAGTTTATGTAATGCTGCCATTGCTTGGTCGATTCATGCCTTTACATTAACAGTAGATTCTTCTTGTTTATCGATTATGCTGCCTAGGTACATGCTTTTTACCCACTGACCATCAATATCAAATACACTCGTGATTAACTGGTCTTATTATACAAACCATAAGATGATTCAAGGTAATATAAACGTTGGTGAGCTCTAAGGAGTAAGTGAATTATTCTTTTAGACAGGATCATCACCTATGTGCCCAAGTTGAGGTTGATTCGTCGACCTATAAATCTATATAGTCCCCTGGTTAGTCTTGTTTTGTTCGTCAATTTAAATTGTCTTGCCAGATCATTGAACTACAGAACTTATCATCATCAATTAATATACATTCAGAAAATTATCTACATCACTTGTCAACACATAATAAAGACTATGTAAGTATAGTAATCTATGTATTACACTAAAACAGACTTTATTCAGTAGTGATACACAGATTTCCAATTGTGAAAGTATTCAGCAAGGTGTATTCTAATGTCTTTTTTTGAAAGAAAAAAAAAAGATAATTAACGACCCTTATACAGTGGAAATATTTCACATTTATAATTAGAAAGTACCTAATAAATATACAATATACACTTCGACAAAGAATTTCATGATCAAGTCTATAAACAGATCAAACAATGATAAACACAAATGATCATTGTTAATATCCATTTAATGGTATAATGAGATATAGATTGGTCTATTTTAAGTATACCACTATTATATAAACCATTTTCATAACGATTTGATATCACTTGTAAATTTTCAACCATTTGTATAAATCGTTGTCCAAGCCAAGCTTCATACGTTTGATTTTCCCATGGAATTAAACTTAAACTCTCTGTATCATCATTAAATATTAAATCTTTTTGACCAAATTCAGAATTGAACATCTGAAAAACTGGATCACTATTTCATGAAATGAAGAAAGAAAGTACAAGGTATTGATTATTATTATTATTATTATTATTATTATTATTATTATTATTATTATTATTATTACTGTTGTTCACTGAAGCCAGTTTTCTTTTCGAAGATGTTATTTATTCAAACACTACATGAATTTGTAGTGACTCGAAAAATAAAATGCGAATGGGAAAACGTTAAAATATTAGACTACGGCAAAACCGAGAGTGGGAGAAAGTCAACTCTCCCTTTCGAAATGCTCTCACATGACCACTTGCATACAACCACCAACAGGGATGTCCTACTCATTTCATTCTTGCGACACGGGTGTTGTTTACAAAATAGAGAGGACAAAAAGTGAATGTCCGGTGCTTTAAACGGGTTGGTGAACACGGAGAGTTCAGCCAGGGCAGTTGGAAAACCCAGATTCCAAACCAATGTTGCACAATGGCTCCAGGATCCTGAAGGAACAAATGGCGTAGGAATCAATTGTTGGTCACCTTGTGGATTAGACCTTTAGGTCGAAGGCTTGGATTGTGGTCCCCTAAGAAAACCACCTGCTTCGGTTTGGGCACCTGGGAAGTATCCTAGCCCTCACACAAATGAAACGATTTATGTGGCGCATATCTATTCGGTGCCTCCGTATATCAATGTTTAAGCGCTTACACAAACGAAAAAAATAAACGTAAGGAAGCTAGAAAGTTTAGAGAAACTAAGCATTTATTTCACTAACTAACCAATATATATCTAAACAAATTCAATCTATAAGAAAAATGCAAAATCGTTCCAATGTCAGACATCAGGTCACAAGAGAATTTAAACGAAATGAATGTGTAGACAATGACAGCCCAAATATGGACAATGACCAAATTTTATTTCAACAGAACAAGCTGATAAGAACTTTTGGAAAACTTTTAATGGTTAACTACATTTTTAATATGTGGTGACGATACTGACTAGAAAGTCAATGAGAGCTTCAGAACCAAGTCATCCAGAGAATAGTATACCTTTAATAATACCAGACCCTGATGTTTAGTTCAAAATAAAACGTAAGAAAATCATATTTCACAATGAACGAATTGCTGGGGTAAAAGTGTATTGAAATAAAACTTTTGACTTAATAGTTTGAGAATAATATACTCCCTAGAAAACCTGAAGTTCGTCATTTCGATCCACAGCTGTGCCGTTAGTATGCACCTCTGACTAGTGAAAATCTGAGACACAACATCTCACAGTTCACTACGATCTTTAATGGATATTTAATCGACGTCAGTTAATGACGTGCATTATTTTCAAAAGTCCACTGGTGCCGATGAATAATGTACAACTTATATGAAACATCTGCTTAATTGTTTCTTCATTTTCAACTAGTTTCTTATTAGAATTTATAAAAAGACGAATTAATCATTCCGGTTGTAATAAGTATACGTAATTTTTAGTAAGATGTAAAAATTAACATCATACTATGGTGTGTGCTACTGAAGGTGACAGATATAATTAATATGTATCATCAATCGAAAGTGAAATGACTGGCGGCACAAAAATTATGGTCGAAGAAAATAGAACGAGAACAGAGAATGATCGGTTTGGAAGTGAAGGAACAGTGAAGTCTGAAATGATTGATTGACATTTTGCAAATGAAGCATTTACTGTATGGTTCTCAGATTTTACCTAAGGTATTCTGTCATTTTGTGTTCATATACATTCAATTGTCCCCATTTATGTTCTTGTTCATTACAATGCAATATCACTCAATCTTTTTAGTTATGCATAAAATTCACATTGCCTAAAAGACAAGCAACATAATTACTGAATTTCTTATTACTTAAATTATATAAACTATGCAAGTTACAATGAAAATATGATTGAATCATATGAATTATCACATACCTATCAGATGAATAATACTCTTGACCATATTGTAATAAACGCCACATATTAGTTCTTTCATTTTCAGATTTATAATTTGCAGTAACTACAACATTACTAGAAATTTTACCAAGATTACAAGTGATCCAGTCATGAACTTCAGCACGTCGTCCATCAGGACATAATATTTCATAATTATCTTCACGTAAATCACGAGCCCAAAAATTTGGATTTCTATGATGTAAGAATTGAAATGAACATCAGTTTTATACAACCAATACAAAAAACAATAAATTTTGCTGATTCAAAATGAATTTTATTCTACTTGATGACCTGTCTCATTAGTTTAAAACAACCTGAAATTACAGGAAGCAAAATATGCTCATATAAATTAAGGCTTAGCATAATTAAGTCACCAATGCTGATGAACGTTTATCGAGACAATATCGAAAATCCTCAGAAGAACAAAATACGAAATTTGTGACTTTGCATAATTGATATTGATACGCAGTTACACGTTCAAAATATGAATAATAATAGTAATAATAACATGGAATAGAAAGGTGATATTTTTGTTATCAGTGATTAAATGTAATAAAATGGTGATTACATGGAACAAATTGGACCCCCCCCTTCATCTTTACCTACACGAACACTAATTAGTGGTAAATGACACGACATATCTTCTCATGTATCAATGCATGTGGACAACTACCGACACATATTTGATTGGGAAAATGTTGAGATCTTGGATAAATGGAATACTAAAAGTGCAAAAGGAGTTTTAGAAGCTTGGCATTCAGATCATTCATCAATCAACATACACATCGAAATCGATCCAATGTATGAATCAATCAGAAAAAATCATGAACAAATATAGGACCAAGAATCAAGTCAGAGAGAGATACAATCAAAATAAGCAGGCTGACAATGACAGGTTAAAATTCAAGAAAAACCAGTCAAGATCGATGTCGACAGGACAAGCTTGGTTATATGTGGAGAAATTCGAACATTTCACTCCTAGATGAAGGTTTTTCTGATGATTTTGTTCGGAAGAACAATGAGAGCTCTACCAGTAAACCATCCAGTTTAAAAAACAAAAATTCGCCTTAAGTTTTATCATGTTACCTTTCTGTAAACATAAGTCGAATTGGAAGTATTTGATAGCAACTGTATCTGTGAAACGTAATCAAATATATTTTAATTGTTTGTTAATTACTTTAAATGCACAACTGGTATTGACCTTATGTACACTATCCATCAGGTGCCTATATACTTACTACCACAGGTGTATGGTAATTCAGATATGCAGTTGATGGTGTTAGAAATGTATTGAATAGCTCAACGTAAATCTGATGTTATATAGTCAAACCAATTCAGTTGGAGGTAAGCTTCATTCTCTCGTCACTCTTATTTGTTCATTAACCTTTCCTGAAATTTTATCTTTGAATGAAAGACGGATGAGGAAAGGCTTTTTACCATATCAGTTGTTTACGATATTTATGGCACTTCTTTACATATTTTCCAATAAATTTCTTTGGGCATCTATTTTCTTATAGGGCTCTCTTCGATAACTCCAAGTTAGTCACTTATTCTGTTGTTTGAGCCTAGAATTTTAGTTCGGTTAAAGTGTTCTGACTGGACATCATTTATAATTTTCAGGAAAAAAGCTGTTACAATTTAAGTATTGCCCCGTTCACATTTCTTTCTTATATACGACTTTTTCCATAGTCTCACCGTTTCATTATCTTACACTAAGATCTAGTAAAACCGATTGACTGTCTTGTTCATGTTTATTTGTAGAGTTTGTGTTTGGATGAGGATTAATTAAAGTGTAGAACAAATGAGAAGTATGATTCACCATCACTAATAATAACACCATTATCTACATATCTGGAATGGTTTATCGTGGTGTGGAATTCATATTTACGTTTTGTTTATTCTAGATCAACCATATAAATATCAGTCAAACATCAGTTTATAGAGAGCAAGAAATCAAAATTATAGGTCTCAGTAGCTAAGTGGATGACGCGATGGCACTTGAATTGAACGGTACTGAGTTCGAGTCCCAGAGGGAACGTTAAATTTGAGATGCAGGTGCATCCAGCTGACAAGTCCCGAATAGGACGAAACGCGCGTCAAATTGGATTCCATAGCTAACCACCATCCATTCCTGCTTAGAGTGCTTCTGACTTAAGGTAATATCGAGGCAGTACGCACACAATACACATATGCCAATAAGACACTGATCAATCGCAGTCCTAAACAACAATCGGAAGATGCAAGTGAACAACACCAAATGAGTTTAAAACCATATCATTTTAAATATTGATTAACCAAAACATCAGCTAAGTGATTAAACGTCGTTTTACTACCGTCATGTTTCATTATAACCATTTGTTAATAATGAATATTTAAAGGTCTCTATCAAATGAAAAGTTCAATATTTGAACGAAGAATATTCTTAATGATGGATAGTGGCTAGCAGTGGAATCCAGGACGCGCGTTTTGCCCTATCTGGGACTCGTCAGCTGGATGTACATGCATCTGAGTTGATGTTCACTCTGGGACTCGAACCCAGTACCATTCGCTTCAAACGCCACTATCCATCATTGCTTACAAATAGATTGTGAATTAAGGTAATATCGAGGCATACGCACAGTATGCATATATGCCAATAACAGACTGATCAATTGCAGTCTTAAAACTCGATTGGAAGATACAAGCCAAACAATACCAAGTGAAGAATATTCTTTTCGATAAATTCTCTTCAGGTTCAACAATTCATATATCTAAATTAATAATCCGAAAAATGGACAGGTTAAGGGTAAAGAGCATTGTTTCAAGTTAAAGCATGTGAACTGTAGGATTGTCATGTTGATATGAATTGCATAGATTGTTAACAACTTGAATCTGCTTATATGTTAAATGATCATTTAAGATCCATGATCTTAATTAATATAGATCAGGCAGAATGATAAAGAAATAACGATACTGTTATGACCTTGATCTCTCTAGTCTAGATTATGACTTTGGCGCGATAGGCTGAGCGGCTTAACCTTGAGTCTAGCACGCGTGAGTTCGAGATGGGGTAGAAAGAGAACTATTCTAGAAGCTGATTGGTTGGCAAGCACGCAAGTGAGAGAAGTCAAGACAGTTGGAACACTCTGAATTCGGATTAGTGCAAAAATGTACATGAATAAATAAGTGAATATCCTGACCACAACGTACCATAATTAGGAAAAATACAGTCATGTCCAAAACTGGGAATTGGGGTAGAATATAAGATGCAGAATAGTATGTTTAAATTACAATAGTTTCGGAACAAAAAGGGGTATGACAATGCATGATACATCGAACAAAAGCTCATATTCTGTAGGATAAAATAGGGACAAAAATAAATTTCAGCGTTTTACAAGCTTTGAATAAAATGAAATAACGTCCCAAGAAAATAGCTTTCGTAGTTTGTCAAGGGTTCTTGTTTCCTTGTTCACAACAATTACAATTCAATTAGCATGAACAATTTTTATTTAACAATCTTAGATTCACATATTCCATAACTTTAAAACGATACACTTTGCCCCAAAACTTAATCAATTTTATAGATTATGAATTTGGATATCTAAATTGTAGGATGTGAAAAGAGAATTTATCGAAGAGAAAAAAAGTTTTTTTTAAAAAAATTTTCATTTATTGATTAGTCTATTGAATATTGATTAGTAGATCTTTTCCTGAATACACATACCAATCCAGTTGGCAAGGCGTTTTTTTTCTTTTTTACATTTTTTACTTTTTGATTTTTCCAAATGTTGATAGGTAATTAAAATGATATTTGGAAAATACAACAATTTACTATGAATGAAAAAGAGAAGATTGTCATTTCAGTGGAATACTTTAAGTAGTATCACTTTCTTTCATTTCGCTAAAAGGCAGGCTTCCACTCGAGAACAACTATATTTTCTCCATGAGTGTCTTCGCCAGCATGTAGTGTCATTTTCTTTCATTTGGGTAAATACATGACATATACATTCTAACTGAAAATTATCTATGAACTAATTTCAGAAGGGTTTTTGTAGATATATTATAGTAATTTTAATAGTTGAGATCGTGAGTCAATTGAAGAATGAAACAGCCATCCAGTGATTCCAGGTTTTCCATGGTTGTCTAGCTTTGACTGCTTCATGATCTTAACTATTGAAATTACTATTCGTTCTTATAATGATAAATATATATATAACTTATCAAGGCCAACAAATCATATAATCATAGAACAATAACACAAAAGAGTCAATCATATAGCAACTAGTGAAAAAACTAGAAATCAGAATAGTATTCTTTATAATAAAAATAACTGTTTACATAATTAAAATAATAAGCAAAGATGGATAGTGGCTAGCAGTGGAATCCAGGACGCGCGTTTCATCCTATTTGGGACTCGTCAACTGGATGTACCTGCATCTCCGAGTTGATGTTCACTCTGGGACTCGAACTCAGTGCCGTTCGCTTCAAACGCCATCGCGTTATTCACTTAGCTACTGAGTTCTGATAGCCATTTGCTTGTGCAATGGGTGAAGTTTAATTCATTTGGTATTGTTTTACTTGAATCTTCCCACTGATGTCGCAAACAGGACGAAACGCGCGTCCTGGATTCCACTGCTAGCCACTATCCATCTTTGCTTATAATGCTTGTAAATTAAGGCAATATCGAGGCATACGCACACAATGCACATATGCCAATAAGACACTGATCAATTTCAGTCCTAAAACATCAATGGGAAGATTCAAGTAAAACAATACCAAGTGAATTAATTAAAATAATGATTAAAAATTCAATGTATCTTCCAAAAATTGGAGATTCAATAATGAGTGTAGTATCTATTTGTTTTTTTATTGATGAAATTGATAGGGTAGAATGAAGTGAGAAGTGATGTTAATTATTATGGAAAAAATTTAATTCTCATATACTAGATTGCTTTAAAAACTGATACAATCTATATATTTTTTATTTATTTAAACACATAAACATTGGTACAACGAGGCACCAAATAGATATGCGCCACATAAATCATTCGATTTGTGTGAGGGCTAGGATACTGCCCGAGTGCTCAGATCGAAACAGGTGGTTCTCTTAGGGGGCCACACCCCGAGCCTTTGACCTATGGGTCTAACCCACAAGGCAGTGGAGCATCGTGAGGTGATGCAGTCTGGTGGTAGCCTGTGACCAACGATTGGTTCATACGCTATTTGTTCCCACAGGATACTGGAGTCCATGTGCACCATTGGTTCGGAATCCGTTTGAACGGCCGAACATTCGCTTTTCGTCTTCTCAATTTCGTAAACAACACCTCCGCTACGAGAAGGCAGTGAGTAGGACTTCCCTGGCAGAGGCTGTATACGCGTGGCCGTGTGAGAGCATTTCGAGACAATCTATAGGATATTTCATATCACATTGAACGAAACATTAAAGAAAACTTATGAAACAATTATTTTAGTTTTCTGAAGAACAATCTGAGGGGAAGGTGAGTGTTGTTTAGTTTTATCATTCTCTGTGTTCATCACTTTATATATAGAGAGAAACTCTTCTTCATCTTTCTGAGTATATTTGTCAGAAATATTAGATTAAAAAGAATATAGATAAACAACATGATGTTTATTATTGTCTTGATAGCGGATATGAGATCAAAAGCCTTAAATATATTGACAATAAACAATAAGAAGATAATTATAATTAGTTCACTTTATATCAAGGATCAGTTGATCTGTTCAAATAGGATACATCTTCAACAAATGATATAACATTTATGACTTTGCTCATGAAGTTGTTTAATGATTTATTTATTCCATTTCATCTGGTTTAATCTACTTTCAATGTTGTACTATTATTTCAATAGTTATCCTTTAAGATCCAACTAACGTGTTCTTCAAATATCTACTATTTAGTTTATTCGGTTTATATCTGTAAAGCTGAAATTCAAGACGTGCATTTCTTGTAACATAAACATCAGATCTAAACAATCGACTCAGATGCATATTTGGCAATAGACTGATAAACTATAGTCCTGAATATCAACGATGAAATATTACAAACACTTATTAATGGATTCCGCTTTTTATGGAAAATTCCATTCTGTCTATTGACTTTGAGGCTTTTCTACTTCATTTCTTAAAAATCTAAGTATTCATTAAATTATCGTATAAAGAATTAACCATTGAATCATTCATTACATCTATCACAACTAGTAATGATAAGCCTCCTTTTTATATCATATTCAGTGTAAATCAATACATATTCTGGTTATTAATACATAAAAACTATGAGTTTATGAAGGTTTGTCCAGTTCAACGATAGTTTCCATCAAGAAATGATATTCATTGAAAAATGCCGAGGATCGAAGTACCTTTTGCTACCGATTAATTATTTTCAGATTAGTACGAAGATTTTTTTTCTGGTTAGCGTTTTTTTAGCGAGTTAGTTTCCTACGAGATGGGGTCGCTAACCCCATGCCCAACCCTCTTTTATCCGGGCTTGGGACCGGCAGTAGCCCCCGGAGGGACTCCAGGCGGAGCAACAACCTACTGTGGGAAAGAACAAACCAGATCCCAGCGGAGGAAGAAATCAGGAAGAAACGCTGGAAGTGGATAGGACACACATTAAGGAAAGCACCCAAGTGCGTCACAAGACAAGCCCCCACATGGAATCCTCAAGGCCAAAGAAGGAGGAGAGGAAGACCAAAGAACACATTACGTCGGGAAATGGAAATAGACATGAGAGAAATAAACAAGAATTGGATGGAACTAGAAAAGAAGGCCCAGAACAGAGTGGGTTGGAGAATGCTGGTCTGCGGCCTATGCTCCATTAGGAGTAACAGGTGAAAGTAAGTAAGTAAGTAAGAAGATAATAGGTATACTATATTTTTAATTTTAGATTATTCATGATATAGTAGCATTGTTTTTAAGATTATAATTATGTAGAATACATGTTTAAAACTAACCTCCCACCAGTATTTGTATGAACTGTTGTATGCCGTGCAAATGCAATATCTGCACCTTCTATTAAACATCTAAATGCACCAGCATCTCCATAATACAACTCTAAATTATCTCGACGACATCTGTCAGCATTGCCACCAGTGCATAATTCACAAAGATTTAATGAATTTGTTCCAATATGATCATATGCTTTGTTTAGTATTCCAGGTATACAAGCTCGACTAATTAATTCACCTGGATTATAACAAAAAGAATCATTCGTGAATTTAGTTATTATATGAATATACAAAGAATAAAAATATAGGTAAATCGACGTCATTTAATTAATCTTGCAATAGTTTAGTCGTCATTATGATCAGAAATTACTATTGAACATAAAAACCAAATTACACTGATTTTTATCAAATATCAGAAGGGGTTTTTGTGGATATTATAGTAATTTCAATAGTTGAGATCACGAGTCAATTGAAGCTAGAAAACCTGGAAGCACTAGATGGCCGTTTCATCTTATTGTGCGACTCCTTAGCAGTGTGCATCTCGCGCGGACGCTTAACCTCTAGACCACTGAGGCGGCCGGTATCCAACGGTTTTAATATCTAATTTCAAATAATCCATCAAATTGAGAGACACATCCATCAGTGTCTTCAATGAGTTACTATCTCACAACAGACCAGGTTGAAATCCACTGGTCACCGCTTCTCACTAAAACTCCAGGAAATACCTCTTGAAGCCAGTCATTAGCGAGCATATGTTGATGATCAGTATCAGAAGGAGTTTTTGTGGATATTGTAGTAATTTCAATAGTTGAGATCATGAGCCAATTGAAGCTAGACCGCCATTATCAAATAATTAGCATTTTATGCTAGTCATTTATTTAGGTGTAAATTGCAGCTAGAATAGTTGAAACATACAAATTTGAATCCCCAATTGAATATGAATCACATTGAGTATAACAAGAAACGTTTATAATAGTTGGCTACATACATAGAGATTGAGTTCAAAACAATCTTTAAACATTCAATATTTATGTTAGTTATACAACAGAATAGCATGAAAACGCCTATATTGAATAAATACCCGATTAACAAAAATTTAATCATTGTAATCTAGATTGATTTCCATTGAAGAAACTTTATGATTTCAATCATGAGAGTCAAATAAAAACGACTTTTCTTTCTCCTTTGATCAAAATTACATTTTATATTGATTTACAGTGAAAACCACTTCAAGATCCTTGTTTTTATTACAACTAATAGAAGTCTAGGATTTCTGGACAACTTTTTGTTCGAGTGTTGAATTACTTACTTACTTACTTACTTACTTACGCCTGTTACTCCTCATGGAAGAGCATAGGCCGCCCAACAGCGAGTGTTGAATATCTACTTTTAAAAAAGTAATCACTATATTTAAACTTGAAATGTGACATTTTCTTTACAAAATAATAATATTACTGTTTTATCACCAAAGGCTAGTTATTAAGTAGACTAGTTTCCTATAAACTGACAAATGGAATTTTGTATAAAATCGATCAAATAATTAAGTCAATTATTCAATCATTAATACGAATGATTATTAATTACATTTTCCAACAATTAAAATGTATAGTAGTTATTATCTATGAAAATGTATATCAAAATATGGGACTTTGTACTTATTTTGATGAAGTTTTGTTCTCTGAGCTGGATGGTTTTGGTTGTGGAACTTTCAGTACATTGAAATCAATCCAATTTACCAACCAATCAGGAAAATTATGCACAAACATAAGAACAAAAATCAAACCAATGAGAGACACAACCAAAACAAAGAAGTAAACAATGACAAATTTAAGGTCAACAAGAACCAATCAACATCGAGGTGTACAGGACAAGCTGTGAACACACATATGAAGAAATTCGAACACTTCACTTTTATCTGAAGTTTGTGCTGATGATGTCGTTCAGAAGAACGATGAAAGTTCTGCTAACAAACCATCCAGCTTAGAGAACAAAACTCCGTCAAAATCATCCACCTGAGCTACAACCCTTCCCCACTCTATACCTACTTAAGCCAAATAATGCCCTGGTACGACCGAGAGTGGAAAGAGTTAGCTTTCCCTCTCGAAATGCTTTCGTATGGCCACGCGTACACATCCACTGCCAGGAAAGTCCTATTCACTGCATTCTCGCTGCACCAGTGTTTTTTACGAAATTAAGAGGACAAGAAGTGAATGTCCGGTGCTTTAAACGGGTTGGTGAACACGGAGAGTTCACCTAGACGAGTTGGAAAACGCAGATTCAAAACCAATCGTGTACATGGAATACAGGATCCTGAAGGAACAAATGGAGTATAAACCAACCGTTGGTCACCGGCTACCATTAGACTGCATCTGCTGACGTTGCTCCACTGCCTTGTGGATTAGACCCATAGGTCAAAGGTTCGGGATGTGGCCTCCTAAGAAAACAATCTGCTTCGGTTTGGGCACCCGGGAAGTATCCTAGCCCCCACACAAATCGAATGGTTTATGTGGCGCATACTTATTTTGCGCCTAGTTGTACCAATGTTTATATGTTCAAATAAAAAAAACAATTATACTTACCGTGAAACTTCATGAATTATCATAAATATTGTTCATTTTTCTTAAATATGAAGTACCGGCATACTTTTTCATAAGTATAAATTAAAATACTTAACTGACAGCTTGTGCAACATTCAAACTGTAACTTTATCATAAATATCAGTAGGAGCTGGTCAACGGTCGTAATTTTCACTTATACTCTTTAGTTCTGTTGTATATTTTTTAAACTCGTCTATGATAATGGCAAGCTTGATGTGATATTTTAGACAGAGAAGGAGTCCTTAGAACAAACCATTAGGACTACATCAGGTGTTCTGTAAAATTATTATGGGTTTTTTCATGAAACAGCCTTTCACTGAGATTTATAAACCGAATACTACTAGATAATATATATCCACATCGTTCGTGAGAATCAAACTGGATGTAAGTGCACTACATTTTTCTGTTACCTTCGTGATCAATCATTTTTGCATATATCAGTCCTACGGGAGATCACTAGCCGTCCAAATAGCTCAGTTGTAATAATTCAAACTGTGAAACTGATTGGCATAGGTTCGAATCCCACTGGAAGTTTTGGTTCATAGGATATTACAGGTGCGCACTGTTGATGAGTGATAACTAGCATGAAGCATAGGCATAAGGTTTCTTATATACAACCTGCAAATACCCAAACGAATCATTATAAGAAATCTGAAGGCAAACGCTATTATTTAACTTCAACTTTATTCATCTAATTCATTTGGCTGTGAGTTAACAAACAGATAAATATAGGTCACTGCTAAGAGATCTCGATGTTAACAATTTTTCGCTGTATACATGTTGGAGAGCAGTTGCACCATATATTTCATAATGCTAAAAGATATATAGTGGCAGTGAAGGATTAAAATAATCAGATAAGTAAGCTGATAATCATATATCATAATTCAATGAAATTTCTCACCAAATGCATGAACTAAATGTCCATCCAGTACAATTACTTGTCTTGTATCCAGGACCGTATTCAATGGAATGATCCATCCAGCTGCTTTACCTACACCACTATGACATGTACGACGATGACGCCAATTCGAAATTAATAAACCAGGATTTACTTTTTCAACTATAGCAACTGCGTAATAGAATGGTCCATTACCATAATTTCTATCAAAAGATGAAAAAGAATTAAGCATTGAATATTTTTCTGCAATTAAGGTATACTACTTATAAGTAGACTGACGACATTGAATGATATAAAGAAATTTTACGACAAAGCAATTCGCCTTTCTATCAGATCATTAATACATTCAGTCGAAGATATTTAGAAATCTATCTTCTGTTTATCATTTGTTTGCATACAAATAATCATTCATACTTCTGTTTATGTGTATTTGCACGGATAATTACAACCATTTCCATAGTACCAACAGAATTTCGATAGTGTAATAAGAAGAAGACGAAGATTATCAGAACTATGTGATGATATGTTGGCGCAATACATTTCAAATAATCTGATCACACATATAGTTGTTAAGAACATTTATATATAAAAACAAAAGGTCAACTAGACTAGAAATGGATGGTAAGAGGAGACAAGGATAATAAATAAATAATGTGAAAACAATTTGAAACTTCATCACTCTGGATAATAAGTTAATATTACCAGGATAGAACTGTTTATTGAAAACGAAAAATTAATTTAACAAAATTTATATCCTTTTCTTAGTCAGCTATTAAAATTTCATTGTCTGTTTTTTTTAATAGTGAGAATTTCCGGCTGATCACTTGTTATCTTGTCCTTAAATGCCGTGGTATGGCCAAGAGTGGGAAGAGTCAACTCTTCCTCCCGAAATGCTCTCACATGATCACGTGCATACAATCACCAACAGGGAAGTCCTACTCACTGCATTCTCGCAACACCGGTGTTGTTTAGGAAATTAAGAGGACAAAAAGCGAATGTCCTCTACTTTAACCGGGTTGGTGAACACGGAGAGTTCACCCAGGGCAGTTGGAAAATCCAGACCAATGTTGCACATTGGCTCCAGGATCCTGCGAGAACAAATGCAGTATAAACCAACCGTTGGTCACCGGCTACTACTAGACTGCATCTTCTGACGTTGCTCCACTGCCTTGTGGATTAGATCCATAGGTGAAAGGCTTGGGATGTGGCCTCCTAAGAAAACAATCTGCTTCGATTTGGGCACCCGAGCAGTATCCTAGTCCCCACACAAATCGAATGATTTATGTGTTCAAATAATACTAATAATATGTTATCGTTAGTTAGTGTTTATTTGAGGAAGAACAGGATTAGCCAGACATCGATTCCTAACCACACACTTTAAAATCTTGTAGCATAATTCGAAGTGTACGGTTTATATGATGATAACATTTCAGCATTGTGTGGTGAACTAATGGACAAACGATTATTAAAATTTACGATTACTTTCTGGCATAATATTTTGGTAAATGTAGTGGTTATTAATACACTGAACTGCCCTGATGTTTTTAACTGGGAAATTACTATTAATGATAACAACGTTGATCAGTGAAACCAGGATTCCATCGGTAGTATTATTCTTCTAATTTTCTATGGAATAATAATTTGAAACGTAAGAATAACTATGAAAGTTTGGGAGAATTAAACTAGTATTATACAGATTAATTCTGTCCATATGAACTCCAAAAGATGAACAAAAAGTCAAATGTAAGAGGAATATCTCTTGAAAGTTTTTATTGCGTAAATGAATAGGGGTATGTTTTCCCAACGATTGCATTTATTTGATATAAGCAGAAGTCAAAATAATAAGTTATTAGTAAATACTAACCCTGTTAACTATTCTATCCCGATAAGAATAATGAATGGTAACTTTTGGGATCCATTTATGGACCAATACTATGCGTATATTTTATTGTATAATTGTTAAGTCACTGAACTATTCATATTCGTAATCCTCTTATCACAAGCTTTATTTTTACCTATGAACTATTATTATGCCATTCACCATCCTTGAGTTATGGCCTGTCTATCAATTATTATCTCCCTTATTCACAGCCACATTTGGCTAATTGTTATACAAATGTTGTTTCCTATTTTATGGTACGATGTAGTCTGTTTGATTGGTATATAAACCCAGTATGTTTGAAATAAATAATTCATATCGCAGAGGCTGGGATTGGTGTTCTGGACTTAACAGGAGGGTCTAGGCAGGAAGCAGGACCGATAAGGACTCTGGACTGCTCGTACGGGTTTTATGCGTCATTGGTCCGATCGATAAATCACTGTTCTCTAATTGGCGGTAACATTGCGTATACATTAATAGAACACAGGGCACAGGATATAACATTAACCAAATTTTTTAAAAAGGTCTTACTCTGAAACAACTGGAACTAAATCAAAATATTTTCCAGCTATATACAAATCACCAGCTTCTAATGTAACCATATCTGCATAACCATCTTTGATTAATTTCATGCAATCAATTGTTGAATTAGCTTGCAAACAAAACATTTCTGGTTGAATACGTTTTGCAGAGAATGCACTAGACATACGCTGACATTTAGACATTTCAAATTCATCAATCACACACCATCCAAGCGTAGGAAGTGGACATGATTCTAATTTTTCTAGAGCTTTTTTAAATGAAGGATCTTGTATACGAAAACAGACAAAGAAAGAAATGTATGGTAAAAGGAATGTTAAATAAGATGTGGCAAACGACACAGAGAAGAAAGAAGAAACATCCTTAAGAAGAAACTAATCAAGATCTCGAAACCATCCATGGAAGAAAATACAAACAACTGAGTGGTCAACTTGTCAAAGCAATCACGAACAAATATAGAAGGACACCTACTCCGATAGGGATTAAGCTAAAAGTGATGCCTCAAAACAAGGCTTCATTCTGATCACCTTAGAGTGCTCTGTATATGTTTTTAATGCTTTTATCTACTGTTTTGACATATTAAACATTTATCTAACTTAAGATGTAGTTTTAAGGTAGTTTTTGTCAAATAATGAAAATGTAGATAAAATTCTCAACTCAATGTAATTTGTTTACTCTATTATACCAAAAATTGACTGACCGTATACGTTTCAGGGGTTATGTAGCAAGTTTCATATATTTTGAATGGAATACGTTTCACTCCAAAATGATCTATATTTCTCATTGGTTTTCGAAGGTTGGTTAACTAACGTATGTTCATGATAATAACTACCTTCAAAACATAACTCAATACTTAGCAAGTTGGGCTATGTTTTCTGAGAGGATCATGTTTATTGTTCACTCGGGAAGGTGGTTAGCTATTGACTTGTGCCACTGAAATTTGAATTTCATAAAACAGACGTACAAGAAACTTCTAAAGTTGATGAATTTCCAAAGACCCTAGCAAACCTTACACGTGATGTAAACCTAATAGAAAATAAATAGTCTACTAGATCATGTTTTAACATTCGTTTAGATAAGTTTTTCAGGGTTCTATGAAAGAAATGCTGTATTGCAAAGATTCCAAGTGATGCCCAGGCAGACGGTTTCTAATAGCTTGAAAGTAAGATCGATTCGACCGCACAAAGCCCACGTACGCTTCATACAGATACTGATTAAATTATTCATAAAATGAGACAGCTGAATATCAATATACAGCAACTGAAATATCTGTTTTTTTATGAAACTTAACTATCATAGTCTAATAAAGAGTTTGCAGTGTAATAGTGAAACATATAGAGTGAAAATAAACAAGATCACCTACCAATCCATCGGTAGTAAGTTTCAGTTTCGGTTACAGGAGGAATATAAATATTTTTTGTATGATCAGAAAACATTAAATGATGTGTAGCATTGTTCCCACTGACAGTTGTATAACCAGCTGATGAGAATAAATTGAACGATGACACACTAGTTCCACTCGGACCAAAATTTTGAACCAACAACTCAAGAAAATCTGTGTACACAGTTACATCATTTTGAATTAAACTCGTCATAATCATACGAGATGGAATTTTACCCCAATTACAGTCTGCAGATGAAGAGATGTTGGCTGTCCACATCCCACTAATAAAGAGCAAAAAACAAGTCGTGGAGCCATTAATAAACTAACCATTGTCATTATGATAATGGAACGTTAATTCTAAAAATGTAGTACTACAAATAAAGATTCAAGATCTACGAAATTTTATTACATCTACTTTTATACCAAGAAGTCAAATTAGATGTATGTTTTTTGATAAAGCACAATGTAAATGATCATCTTAAAAGATGTACTACTCCATTTTAAAAAATCCAAAACTGTTTGGTAAAGTGTTGGTCAATTATCATCAGACTGAGGGTACAACGTTTTAATAATTAAATCCTTTCAAAGTTACTCATTGTGATTGCTTACGACAGCTTCTATTAAAGCCAAGTTATTTCGTTGGTTAGCTAAGAAACTTAATTCTTAGAGATTTCTGTGGTTCAGCTTCAAAAAATAAATAAAAGCTCTTGTACATCTTGTAAGTTAAATAAATGGTATTTGTAGAAAATTGTTCAAAATTAGCACAGAAACTTGACAAAAAGAGCAAGTAATAGGGATGTGGCATAAAGTATTCGACCATTTTAAACTCATACTCTAACTGGGAGTGAGTTATTTATAACCTACAAACAATAGTGATAATTATGTACAACCATTACACATACTTTATTATCACATTAATGAGAATTAATAAAATAACGACGAGAATTAAGAAAGAGACATAACGCAATGAAGTGAATAGATATTCATCTGTTATTATATGTAAAAATTCTAGAAGAAAAACATCTAGTCTAGAGTTATTTCAAGACAGATGGGGCTGGTAAGAGTAATAACAGTATCAGTAGTGGTGAGTTGAGTGCTACTAACAAGATCGCTCATAAGTAATATGCAGCGGAACGTAACGTGGAAGCTGTCACATTTGACAGCTGGAGAGAAAAGTTTCAGTATTACCAAAGGCAAGGTGCAGGGAAAAATCTTGAGTACCAGAAGAGAAAACAGTTTATAACTAGCTAGATTGCAAAGCGTACAGCTAGATGCAAATGGATGACCGAAGGCTATATGTACATATTAGGTAAACACTCCGTGATTTGACTACATAAGAAGTAAGAAAGATTAGATATAGAAAAAGAAGTAGGTACAAGAAGATCTTTAGGCTCAGGTTTTTCGGGAATACAATGAGTGATTGCACATGCACTATTATGAATGATACTGAGCCATATCACCTAAACTTCATTGTTTGCTGTTATATACAGAGCTCATATTCTTGATATACCACGTACAACTTGAGCACTCAAACGCTAGAACCCTCCGAGTCGCAGATATGAAGACAGAAGAAGAGTGAGAACGAATGCTATTCCAAACAGTGTCAAATATGGTACAAAACTCTTAGGTATTTATAGTTTATAGCTGAAGGCGAAATCGTCATTACAGTCATCTAATCCGCATGCAAACTCCGCCTGGAGCCCCTCCGGGGGCTACTGCCAGTCACAAGACCGGGTAAAGGAGGAGGGTGGGGCATGGTTTAGCGACCTCATCTCGTAGAAAACTAACTCGCTAAAGAATGCTAACCAGAAAAAATAATTCAAACCATTTAAACTCTGCCCTGAAAGTCTTCATCAAGAAGAACTATGACGCCTCAAGGTGAAAGCTGAGTTCCTTCGGAAGTCACAAGGCTGATGCCACTTCTGACAATCAAAGCAACTATTGATTTAGGTACATGAAATGCTCATACAATATAGGAAACCAGAAGAGCCCTTCGAATTGCTGCAGAAATGAGGAGATACAACCAAGAGATGCTTGAAATCAGAGAAACACATTGGACGCAAGTAGGACAACAACGACTAGCTACAGGGGAGCTTCTGTTATACTCTAGCCATGAAGAAGAAACTGCACCACATGCACAATGAGTTGCATTGATGCTGTCCAAACAAGCACAAAATGCACTTATAGGATGGGAATCTCCTGGACCAAGGATCATCAAAGCCTCCTTCAAAACAAAGAAAGATGGCATTTCAATGAACATCATCCAATGCTATGCGCCTGCCAACGACTACAATGAGGACGCTAAAGATCAATTTTATGATAGGCTGCAGTCAATCATCGAGAAGTGCCCAGCAAAGGACTTGACCATTCTGATGGGAGACCTAAATGCCAGGGTTGGAATGGACAACACTAGATATGAAGGCATCACGAGACGACGTTGACTGCGCGAAAGGAACGAAAATGGTGAGAGATTCGCAAACCTATGTGCCTTCAATAAACTGGTCATAGGCGGCATTATATTCCCACATAAACGCATTCACAAAACCACATGAACTTCACCGGATCATACTACGCAAAACCAAATCGACCATATCTGCATCAAAAGTTCAGGAGGACAATGGAGGACGTGAGAACCAAGAGAGGAACTGATATAGCATCAGATCATCACTTGCTGGTCGCCAAGATGAGATTGGAACTCAAGAAGCACTGGACAACGAGGCGGACAACATCACAAAAGTTTAATACGGCCTTTCTTTGGGGTACTGACAAACTCAACAAATTCAAGATAATCCTCAGCAAAAGATTCCAGGCCTTTCATGATCTACTCAATGGGGAGGGAACCACTATGGAGAGCAACTGGAAAGGGATAAAAGAGGCAATCACTTTAACATGCCATGAGATTCTGGGCCACAAGAAGCACCATCACAAGGAATGGATCGCTGTTGATACACTGGATAAGATTCAAGAAAGGAAGAATATGAAGGCAGCAATCAATACCAGCCAAACAAGAGCAGAAAAAGCCAGGGCACTAGCTGAGTTCACAGAAGTAAACAAGCAAGTGAAGGAAAAATGAGAAAGTCGTGTAACACAACTAAGAAACTCTCTGGAAAGCACCGTAAACCAGAACGACCAGTGAAAAGCAAGAAAGGAAAAGTAATCACCAACATCGAAGAACAGCGAAACAGGTAAGTAGAACACTTCAAAGAACTCTTAAATCGACCAGCCCCACTGAACCCACCCAACATCGAAGCAGCACCCACGGACCTCCCAATCAATGTTGGCCCACCAACAATTGAAGAAATCAGCATGGCCATCAGACAAATCAAGAGTGGCAAAGCAGCAGGACCAGATAACATTCCAGCAGAGGCACTGAAAGCAGACGTAGCGGTAACTGCAAGGATACTCCACATTCTCTTCAGCAAGATTTGGGATGAAGAACAAGTACCAACAAACTGGAAAGAAGGACACCTGATCAAAATACCGAAGAAAGGCGATCTCAGCAAGTGTGATAACTACAGGGGCATCACTCTTCTCTCAATACCGGGAAAAGTCTTCAACAGGGTGTTGTTAAACAGGATGAAGGACTGCGTAGACGCACAACTTCGTGACCAACAGGCAGGATTCCGTAAGGATAGATCGTGTACAGACCAAATCGCAACTCTACGGATCATTGTGGAACAATCAATTGAATGGAATTCATCACTCTAAATCAACTTCATTGACTACGAAAAGGCATTTGATAGCGTGGACAGAACAACACTATGGAAACTTCTTCGACACTACGGCGTGCCTCAGAAGATAGTCAATATCATACAGAACTCATATGATGGATTACACTGCAAAATTGTGCATGGAGGACAGTTGACAAAGTCGTTCAAAGTGAAGACCGGTGTCAGGCAAGGTTGCTTACTCTCACCCTTTCTCCTTCTCCTGGTGATCGACCGGATCATGAAGACGTCAACGTCTGAAGGGAAGCGCGGGATACATGGACATCTAAGATGCAGTTGGATGATCTAGACTTCGCAGATGACCTGGCCCTTCTATCCCAAACGCAACAACAGATGCAGGAGAAGACGAACAGTGTGGCAGCAGCCTCAGCAGCAGTAGGTCTCAATATGCACAAAGGGAAAAGCAGGATTCTCCGATACAACACAGAATGCACCAATCCAATCAAAATTGACGGAAAAGATTTGGAAGATGTAAAAACCTTTACGTATTTGGGCAGCATCATTGATGAACAGGGTGGATCTGATGCAGATGTGAAGGTGCGGATCGGCAAAGCAAGAGCAGCATATTTACAACTGAGGAACATCTTGAACTCAAAGCAACTATCAACCAACACCAAGTTCAGGATTTTCAATACAAATGTTAAGACAGTTCTACTATATGGGGCAGAAACCTGGAGAACTACAAAAGCCACCACCCAGAAGATAGAAGTGTTTATTAACAGCTGTCTATGCAAAATACTTCGGATCCGTTGTCCGGACACTATTAGCAGCAACCAACTGTGGAAGAGAACAAACCAGATCCCGGTGGAGGAAGAAATCAGGAAGAGTTACTGGAAGTGGATAGGACACACATTGAGGAAAGCACCCAACTGTGTCACAAGGCAAGCCCTCACATGAAATCCTCAAGGCCAAGGGAAAAGTGGAAGATCAGAGAACACATTACGCCGGGAAATGGAGATAGACATGAGAAAAATGGACAAGAATTGGATAGAACTGGAAAGGAAGGTCCAGGACAGAGTGGGTTGAAGATTACTGGTCGGTGGCCTATGCTTCACTAGAAGTAATAGGTGTAAGGAATTAAGTAATCCGCATACAGTGGTTTTTAACATTTGTCCAACAGGGAAGCTACACTCGGAGATTCTGGAATGTTCTTCCAAAAGATGATTAGGTGGAATATCTTCGGCTCTTTCTAAGCTTCTTAAAGCTTCCTCGAGTTCACTTGCGGGACGTCCCCACATCTACCTTCTTTAAAATCGCTTACAGAACATTCTTCCTTCGGATCCACCTGAAACTTTGTTGCAGCATTCCTCTTGCGATCCATCACTTTTAAAGGTTGTGCCGCTTTGCTTTTTCGCCTTTTATATCTCCTACATCCGTTTTATTTAGGGATTTTTTGAAATGAACCCATGAGCAATTGAAACGAGAGTCGGCTTTGTGTGATCAGTGTTCTGCAGTCCCTTTAGATTTGGCTTACATATCTTATACACGTCCAGACATTTCTCTGGACTAAGTACAGTGCATTTCCAATCCGACGTTTTATAACCCCTGGTTCCCACTTCCTTTTACTTTGATACGACTTGACAAGTACCCTTTCTTCCACCCGGAAGCTGCGAGTAGCCTTTCGATACTCATTTGTAGGTTTATTTATATTGCTTAGCGGCAACATATAGTTAAAGACTGTCAGAATTTTCCTTCCGAACATACATTCAACTGGTGGCTTTTCTTCTGGCACCTCCGGATTCGGGGTAACTCTGTAATACATTAAGAATTTACTGGCCATTTTTTCGAAAATACCCTCTCCTTCCCTTTTGACCAGAGCTCTTTTTATCGTATCCACGGATTTTTCTGTTTTAACATCCGACTAAGGATGGTACGGAAGAGACTGTAGACGTGTTGTACCATTTCCATTGCAAAACCGTATAAAAGCAGATGACAAACTGAGTGCCGTCGTCAGTTTCTAATATCTCTGGAAACAAGCAAACAATCTTGAAAATTCTTTAATTGTATTCTCTGGTATCGTGTTTGGGATGTCATATATTTTCGGCAATTTCGTGAAAGCGTCTACAACAACCAAGTAATTTCTACTTTTAGTGGAACCGTAAAAATGAGCGTGTATTCTTTGCCAGGGTCTGTCCGGTTTTGGTCATGATTGTGTTTCTGCTTTAGTGAGATTTTTCGCGACCTCTAGACGGGACCAACAACTGCGACACTTTTTTTCTATATTATAGTCCATTGACGGTCAATATACGTAGATCCGAGCTAGTAATTTCATTTTACTGATCACTTGATGCCCGCTGTGGAACTGTTTAAGGACTAGGTGTCGAAGATACGATGAAATTTTTTGCAAAAATGAGAAAAGTATGTCGGACGAATCAAATGATGATAAAAAACACAATGACATTTTGATAGATACTGATTTTCGTAGTGATCCATTATCCATTAATGAGATTCTCAGTAAATTTGATAAGAATGTTCCGGAAGAATTAGACCCTGATGACCTCCAGTCAAATGTCGTTAATCCCCACCATCTAGCCACTTCTAGTGAATCCTCTATTCAATGCAAGAAATCTGTTTTAAATAACGTCACATTAATTGTAACTTGTGCATATGAGGATCTAACATTATTTCGTGGAAGAGGATAAAGTCAGAAAATTTAAAGTCAGGACCTAAACTTCGAATCTTCAAAAAAGGGGAAAAATATATCCCGACGCGAATTATAAATGGTAACTTGTGAGAAACACTTATGGACAAATATTATACGTATTTTATAATGTATAACTATTCAGTAGCTAGATTATGTATACCCATACTCCTCTTATTACAAGCTTTATTTTGACCTATAACCTATTATTGTACGATTCACCATTCCTAAGTTATGTCCAGTTTATTGATTACAGTCTCTCACATTCATAGCCACTTTTGGCTAGATTTTGTACAGATGTTGTTTTCTATTTTATGATGCGATGTGGTCTGTTTGGTTTTTATAAAAATTCAGCATATTTGAAATACACGATTCATATCGCGGAGGCTGAGATTGGTGTTCTGGACTTAACAGGCAGGATTAGGTAGGGAGAAGAATTGATAAAGCCTCTAGACTGTTTGTACGGGTTTATGCGTCATTGGTTCGGTCGATAATTAACTGTTCTCTAATTGGCGGTATCATTACGTTGTATACTAATAGGGCACAAGGCCATAAGTTATGACATTTACGATAATCACACAGAGCACAACCAGGTAACAAACAGTTATTACCATGTTCAGTACGATTTTCAATGCACTCATGAACTGTTATCGGTGAAGTCACTAAAAGAAATATAAAGATCACACGATGAAAGACAGTGATCAAGATTGAGGTTTGAATAAACTAGGGGATACGGATTTTGACGCTTAACGTGTTGTATTTCACGTTCTTTGGTAATAATAAGGGCTTGAACGGACAATAAAACCACTATCTCAATTAAATTCTTTGTTTATTATGAACAAAAACATCAGGATTTAGGGTTCTTTGTCAGAAGCAGCCAGATTTCAGCTTTTAGAGAGGGATCCAAACTTCCAATCATGAAAGTTAGATGCATAATATTGAATCTCACACTAAACTGATCTTTTGCTTCCTATAGCTGTTCTGCAGAAACTAAAACAAAATTTTCGGTGTGTAGAAAATTCCACCGAGGAAAATTATGATCCAACTTCAATACTTGAAAATTGAAAAATATGACCTATGTCATTAGCCCAAATATTGATCTTCCAGTATTTTACTTAGTAGGTGGTGTTACTCCACGGAAAAAATTAAACGTTGACATCCAAAATATATTTAAAGTAAAACAGTACGATAAATTTCTACTCTATGTAGTAAAATAATAGGTCAAAATACTGACCTTTAAATATATCTACACGAAATATTAAATTGAACCAATATGTGATCTTGAAACATCTAATCACTAATGCTCAAAACATCATGACTGTTAGAAAGTTTTCCTGAATATTATCACTATATAAGTAAAAATATAGATGCTAATAAAGTTCAATAACGAATTAAACACTGGTTGCTAAAAGTGTTAACTTGCTTAGACATTTTTGATGGACACAATAATTCATAATTTTCTTTTGGAAACCCATCACCAGAAGCTAATTCAACCTCTTGATCTCTCAAAAAAGCGACAACAGGTTTATATTTTGACTCAAAATTTTCAGTATGTTCCCTCAAACATCTCAAGGCTCCTTGGTTTCCTGAGTACCTATCTAATGATCCACACCAATCAGATAGCCCTGTATTGTAACAAAGACGACAGACTTCTTGTGTGTTGTCTCCGAATGGATTAAAAATTTCAGATAATGAATTTGGTATGCAAGAATCACCAAGATAACGAATTAAGTTTTGTACTACACTGTTGCACTGCGTAACCGGAATCGCTCTCAAGTCTGATATTAGTGTACCAACGGGCATTACCCAGCCTTCTGCTGTCCCAGCACCTATTTTTAAAATAAATTACTGTCAAAATAAAATCAGTTTACCGGCTGAACAAATTTCTTTGCCCCTTAAATTTGTAGGATCTATACTTATACTGATTGGCTTAACCATGACCGCATAATAGTACAGGTTTCTTGCATTAGGTGCATTGCTTATTGCATAGTTTTCCACAGCAATAGGACGTAAACTGTACAATGAGCTGCCATAATATGCCAGACCAACATCCAAATTCATTAAATCAGCCTGCTTTTCATTGATCAACTTCATACAATTAAATTCATCTGAGCCGAGAATACAGGTTAAATTATACTTGTTTGAAATCGTATTAGTGGATTGAATCACAGAACTAAGGTGGTTGCACTTGATTTCTTCTTCAGGTGATACTGAACACCATTTTACTGTTGCTAAAAGTGAGCAATAAGATCATATTTATGACTGAAAGTCATTTAAATAATGTATAAGGAATCTAATTATCTTCATTGACTTAAGACCCGACAAAAACCATGAAAATGAAAATGAAATTCCGAACAAGATCTAAGAACTCTATTCGATGTCTACACTGAAGAACATGACAAAGAAAACTGACAAACCTCGGACTTTATCAGAACACTAATGATTCCTAGAATAGATTATTTCGCGATGGAGTGTGACTTTTTCTGCCAACATTGAAGGTTAGTGTTTGTCTGTAAACAATTTTGCATTTGTCAAGTTTTCATGTAACATGTTCAGTGAAAAAATATATAATAAATGAACACATTAGTAGTAGATTATCTCCAACTTAGATGGAATTGATAGTGAGAAGGAATTTCACTTTCAGAAACACTATCAAAACTGTTTATCATAACAGTGGATATTTTAAAGATTTTAAGAATAGTATGAAGCAGCTTTTCAATACTTGGTTACTTGAGATGGTTTTCAAGGTAATAAGTCCCCAAAATCACTTTGAACCAAAGAGGTTTGAAACTTGTCAGATGTACGTCTCTACTAGGGACACTTATATTATAGCCCTGACTACACACTTATTATCAAAGAAACGTGAATAAATTTGTTATAGTCGTAAATAAAGATGTTTATTTCTAGGAGCTTCTGCTTCAGTTAATTTTTCAAGGAATACCCACACTTGAAATACACTCTACAAGAATATAGCAACCCGACGACTTTCGGCAATGCTTGCTAGAACAATAAAGCAACAATTAAAACCTTCAATTTCTAAACAGCAGTAAGATTTGTTAGTTAACCGGTAAAAATGTATAAGGTTATTCTATGGTCTTGAAACAAAGCAACTTAGAATCATGGCTGACCGTTTATTTTTAATCGTCAATCCCTGCATGTAGTTTAGAGTTGATGTATTATTTGTAATTTATTGAATAGCCGTAGGAAGTATTGTACACAGTTATTTTTATAAATATATGTATAAACAATGAAAAAAACAGGTAAACCTATCAAGTATGTGGAAAGTTACACACTATAATTCCGAGGAGTAAACACGCCACAACCTACTCTGAGAGTGAATAAGACTTATTCCAAGGAATACATGAAAAACACAAGCGAATTGTAACATCCGTGTTAAGAAACATTTAAAAAGATTTCCTTCGTTTGTTTATCACATTTTACGAATATAAACAATAACAAGGTCACATCACTGACAAATGTTAGAGTCGACTTCAATCAGGTTCACTTATGATAATGGAATAATTACTCTTATATATGGAAGAAACAATCCAGACTTATAAATCTAGGTTCGATATACTGTCAGTACGGCCTAGGTAACCTTATTCACGTAGGTACTGCTTAATACAAATGCTATAACCTAATCTCTTCCACTCTGAGTAGCCGACTTGTTCCATGCCTCAGCTGGAGATAGAGCATAGCCATATCAGATGACTTAAATAAATTGAGTGGTTCTGGACAGAATAAAAGAAGCCTTGTAGTGTCAGTTATTATGGCAAGCCTATGTACCTTATTCTAACTTCCGGACATCCTATTTTATTCATTTTACTTGAGCCATATTTTGACCTTGTCATTTATTCGCTTATCAACTAGACTGTGTTTATATGAGGGTATATATGTGTGCACTTCTTATTTCATTAATCACATGTCTGTACCTTTAATTTGTCTGACTATAAATATTGAGTAATGCTTGACTAAAATGGAGTTGGCTTCCCAGCCATCTTCCCAGCGCGTCATTTCGTTTTGTTCTATCGCATTCACTTTACATACAAAATATATGTATTCAAATGCCATTCTCGTTAATTGACTTATTTAATTCCGTTATGGACTAACGCGATTTAAGTCGACGATGATAAACGAGAATCAGCGATAGCAAACATACGTACACACTAAATGGAGTTTGATCAACGGGCCACCTCATTGGTAAGCCCGCCGACGACGAACGCAACGCAGTAAGCTACGTCGATGAAGGCACCTCTGCACTCTATACGTTCAACGAACAAATTCAGCGAAGCCAGAGCAATCTCCAATCCGACTCAATCAGCACAGCCTGTGCAACATGACATGGACATGCTCAAGTCGTATTATCTTATCGATACTTTGTCCTCATGTCAATTATCCTCATTGATACATTTTTCGGATTGTTCCATTACGATTCAAATTATCATTATATGCTTATTATTACATTATTATCAATATCATGACCGAATGTGGAATTATTAATCTTGTTCGTGCTGTCATTAACTTATGACATTTTCGCAATCATATCACTCACTGAACAAATTATCATTTTATGAAAATTCCACTCTACGTAATGACATCTAAAACTCATTGGAAATTTTCCTGCTTTAAGTGAGTTCGTTCCAATTTTTTTCATGTCATTTTGGTCTAATATTACATTCATTCACTTAGTTGAGGTCCGCAATTTATGTTATCACAACATACATTTTTCATTTCGAAATCGCCTCCTATTATGTCTGTGGATGCTTCTGACTAGCTGATTAGTAACCATTACGCTCATTTTATCTATTCTTTCACGTGCATAACTACATGCTGCATCACTTATCACTCAAAAACGCTATTCGAGTACTGCAACTACTATTCTATACCCATCGCTCGGTATATCAGAACATAGAGTTTAGAGCTACTCTCTCAAAGATACACTCTTGTTCGTCACATCCAAGTCAGTCTCATACGTCGCCATCACTAATCATATGTATTGGTATTTTTGTCATGCCTTCGTACGGTTTTGTAACAAACGAGATCGAGCGCATCTCCCTCAAACCACACAAACCACTCTAGGCTTCATGACCAAAAAGGAATACGACTCTATGTACTTCGTCTACTCAGTCACTATTCTGTTCCTCTGGTCATTCTACTAATACATATTTAACGATAACTCGGTGCATCTGTCATAACGCAGACGACAACGTCCACTGACTTCAAATTTTATGATTATTATCAATTGCAGTACAGCAACGAATATCACCCGTCGATGCACATATAATTTCACGACTTTGCTATTATCATCCTACGCATTTAATTTCGAATTCACTCATCACTAGTCAATGCGATTTATTCTGCTGCGGCTCAACAGAACATATATTTCGCATATTTCACTATTTCGTCAGCATCACAGACCAATTTCTGTCATATTCTACTCTAGCCATTTTGACGATTGATTTCGCTGTTATACCTACAAACAATTTATTATTATTTTCACGATATTTTGAATCACTCATACAAACATGTTATTTTATCGTTCAGACAGTCATAGAATTCGTAGATGTTAATTTTTTTGTACGCTCATTAATTTGCTCATATTCACATGCTAACATTTTCGTTTTTGTCCGAGCCTTTGCGATATTCATGTATTCTTTTACATAAGTATGACATTTTCATATAATACACTCACACCTCATGTGACACTGTACTTTATCGAGTGTTGTACAATTTTTTTGCTACTTACAGATAACGTTAACTACGCACCACTTCACTGTTATTTTCGAAAACAGCCATTTTTTAAATGTGCTATTTTCTACGAGGGGGCTATGTAGTGTCAGTTATTATGGCAAGCCCATGTACCTTATTCTAACTTCCGGACATCCTATTTTATTCATTTTACTTGAGCCATATTTTGACCTTGTCATTTATTCGCTTATCAGACTAGACTGTTTTTTATATGAGGGTATATATGTGTGCACTTCTTATTTCATTAATCACATGTCTGTACCTTTAATTTGTCTGACTATAAATATTGAGTAATGCTTGACTAAAATGGAGTTGGCTTCCCAGCCATCTTCCCAGCGCGTCATTTCGTTTTGTTCTATCGCATTCACTTTACATACAAAATATATGTATTCAAATGCCATTCTCGTTAATTGACTTATTTAATTCCGTTATGGACTAACGCGATTTAAGTCGACGATGATAAACGAGAATCAGCGATAGCAAACATACGTACACACTAAATGGAGTTTGATCAACGGGCCACCTCATTGGTAAGCCCGCCGACGACGAACGCAACGCAGCAAGCTACGTCGATGAAGGCACTTCTGCACTCTATACGTTCGACGAACATATTCAGCGAAGCCAGCGCAATCTCCAATCCGACGCAATCAGCATAGCCTGTGCAACATGACATGGACATGCTCAAGTCGTATTATCTTATCGATACTTTGTCCTCACGTCAATTATCCTCATTGATCCATTCGTCGGTTTGTTCAATTACGATTCAAATTATCATTATATGCTTATTATTAAAATATTGCCAATATCATGACCGGATGTGGAATTATTAATTTTGTTCGTGCTGTCATTAAATCATGATATTTTCGCAATCATATCACTCACCAAACAAATTATCATTTTATGAAAATTCCACTCCACTTTGTGAGAACTCATTGGGATATTTTTACTATTCGAAAACGTAAAATTTTCTTGCTTTAAGTGAGTTCGTTCCAATTTTTTATGTCATTTTGACCTAATATTACATTCATTCACTTAGTCGAGGTCATTATTTTATGTTATTACAAAATACATTTTTCATTTCGAAATCGCCTCCTATTATGTCTGTGGATGCATCTAACTAGCTGACTAGTAACCATTACGTTCATTTTATCTATTCTTTCACGTGCATAACTACATTCTGCATCACTTATCACTGGAAAACGCTATTCGAGTAGTGCAACTACTATTCTATTCTATACCCATCGCTCGGTATATCAGAACATAGAGTTTAGAGCTAGCATCTCAAAGATACACTCTTGTTCGTCACATCCAAGTCAGTCTCATACGTCGCCATCACTAATCATATGTATTGGTATTTTTGTCATGCCTTGGTACGGTTTTGTGACAAACGAGATCGAGCGCATCTCCCTCAAACCACACAAACCACTCTAGGCTTCATGGCCAAAAAGGAATACGACTCTACGTACCTCGTCTACTCAGTCACTATTCTGTTCCTCTGGTCATTCTACTAATACATATTCAACGATAACTCGGTGCATCTGTCATAACGCAGACGACAACGTCCACTGACTTCAAATTTTATGATTATTATCAATTGCAGTACAGCAACGAATATCACCCGTCGATGCACATATCATTTCACGACTTTGCTATTATCATCCTACTCATTTAATTTCGAATTCACTCATCACTAGTCAATGCGATTTATTCTGCTGCGGCTCAACAGAACATATATTTCGCATATTTCACTATTTCGTCAGCATCACAGACCAATTTCTGTCATATTCTACTCTAGCCATTTTGACGATTGATTTCGCTGTTATACCTACAAACAATTTATTACTGTTTTCACGTTACTTTGAATCACTCATACAAACATGTTATTTTATCGTTCAGACAGTCATAGAATTCGTAGATGTTAATTTTTTTGTACGCTCATTAATTTGCTCATATTCACATGCTAACATTTTCGTTTTTGTCCGAGCCTTTGCGATATTCATGTATTCTTTTACATAAGTATGACATTTTCATATAATACACTCACACCTCATGTGACACTGTACATTATCGAGTGTTGTACATTTTTTTTTGCTACTTACAGTTAACGTTAACTACGCACCACTTCACTGTCATTTTTGAAAACAGACATTTTTTAAATGTGCTATTTTCTACAGGGGGGCTATGTAGTGTCAGTTATTATGCCAAGCCCATATACCTTATTCTAACTTCCGGACATCCTATTTTATTCATTTTACTTGAGCCATATTTTGACCTTGTCAATTATTCGCTTGTCAGTCTTGACTGTTTTTTTATATGAGCGTATATGAGTGTACATTTCATGTCACATGATTCATTGTATGTCTGTAGCTTATTTTGTCTGCCTATAAATATGGAATAACACTTGACTAAAACGGAGTTGGCTTCCCAGCCATCTTCCCTGCGCGTTATTTCGCTTTGTTCTATCGCATTCACTTTACATACAAAATATATGTATTCTCGTTATTTGACTTATTTAATTCCGTTATTGACTAACGTGATTTAAGTCGAAGATGATAAACGAGAAAAGGCGACAACAAACATTTATACTATCTAATTGGAGTCAGATGCACGGGCCTCCACATTGGTAAGCCCGCCGATGACGAACGCAACGCAGCAAGCTACGTCGATGAAGGCACTTCTGCACTCTATACGTTCGACGAAC